AGAGATTTCAAGAATGTATAGAATCAAAACAGAGAGAAAGAAATGAAATGAAAAAAAACAACAACACAAAACATTATTCGTCAATAATTTATTTGTTGTTGAATTTTTCCTTTTTTTACGATGTTGATCATCATCATCATCATTGGAATTGTCCTTTTGGATGTCTAGTGAAATTTTTTTTCACTGATTTTCATTCATTCAATTCAACATTGATTCAGCCAATAGATTTTTTTTTTCTTTTTGTTGTTGATCAATTTCAAATTTTTTTTTTTCATTTAAATTTACACTTTCCCTTTACTGGTTTTTGTTGTGAATGTCGTGAATCGAATTACTAATGAGGTATATATTTTTTTCATCAACTGACTCGCTTGATTAATTTACCTGAATGTTTGTTTCATTTCATCAATCAGATAAGATCAATTAAATTGATTTTTTTTATATTGATAAAAAAATAATCGATTGATTGAATGAATAATAGTTGAAACAATTTTCAATTCAACGAATCCTTTGAAAATCCATTTATCCTATCATTTAAAATTGAATTTTATATTTCGTTTTGAGACAATCAATTTTTTTTTCACTCTCTTTCGTTGCTGCTATGACGTGATAATTATATGTTCTAAACTTATTCCTGTTTAGAAACTTTTTTTCCATGAAATCATTTCACTTTCTTCAAACACCTATCCAGTTTGCATACGTGTGTGTGTGTGTGTGTGTTTTAGGATAAATAAATGGATAAACCAGAATAAACTGAATTCCATGGAATTGTTATTCTGTTGTTGTTTGGTCCATTGCCATTTCACATTGTGAAAAACACACAACACACACACACATACACACAGTCACAAACAAACAAACATTTTAAGCGACAAAAGTGAATGAAGATTGATGATCATAAAATGTACCAATGATAATGAGTATGATGATGATGATGATGATGACCAAAAACAAAAAATTCAAGTTTCTTTCTTGTCAGTGTGTCGAAAAAAAAACTGAATAACGAAAAAAATTCTTATTCTATAGAACAACCAACGAATCTAAAAGTTGTTTTTTTTTGGACCAAGAGTGAAGAATTCAAAAAAAATGTCCCGGTATGTTTTATTTTTTTTTCTTCCATTCTGGTAGATCATTCATTCATTCATTTGCCATATGGGAAAAAAAATAGTTGGACAACATCACTATGTCAGTGTCAATGGTTATATACCATATGTATGTGTTGTGTATTTTATCTAGGTGTGTGTGTGTGTGTGGCTTGTTGTTTTATCTTGAATTTATTTTTTTTTGTCTATTCGTTGGATCGCTACTAGATAGACAGATTACTGTGTTTTGTTTTGTGTACAATGTAAAATGTGATCAGCTTAATCAGTCCCAAATGACAACAAGACGACTATGACGATGAAAATTTTCATCGTCGTTTTTGTGTGTGTGTTTGTATTGTTGATTTTTATTCTTTGTTTTTTTTTTTGTTGTCCAAATATTGTATTACTTTTTTTGTTGAAAAAAATTCCGATTTTTTTTCTTCGGTCTCTAAATGATATATTTATATATATGTTATGTCTTTTAATGGACATTATCATTATGCAACATCATTTGGTTGTTGTTGTTGTTGTTGTTGAGAAATTCAGCCAATGAAAAAGAAATGTAATCAACCAAAATTACCGAAAAAATATAGTAATGATGATGACATTGAAAATCAAAGTGACCCTAAAAAAATAGATGACCATTATACCACCCCAAAACATAATATTAAAATTCTCGAAATGATATTATTCTCTATATGATCATGAACAAGAAAAAAAACAGGAGACTTGGAAAACTAAATGAAATGCAAAGGAAAAAAAACAATAACCCCCCCCACAAAAAAATGAAAACAATTTCACATATTAAAAAAACATAGCTGAATATTTGATGGTTGATAGTCAAATGGAGAGCAAGAGAGAGAGAGAGAGATGGAAAAAATTGTGTGAATGAATTAAACATAAGCAACATTCGAAACAAATGGGAGTAAAAAAAAAGAAACCGATATCCAGGATCGTATCACACACACACACACACACAAAAAGTATCAGGTGTCGACGATGACTATGACAATGACAATGACGACCATTAATTCATTTGTCTATGTGTTACGAATGCAAATAAAATAAAAAGAAAATTTCTCATCATCCATCCAGAGAGGGAAAAAAAGAAAATTTTTTCATGAAAAAATTTTCCAACAATCATCATCATCATCATCATCATCTCATCCACCATCATAATGTGATTCATGATCTAATCCAGTGGTTGTCTTTTTTTTTTTGTTTATCACCAATTGTAACATTCAACCAAATTGAAAAAATTTATCGTCCTCGTCTGCGTGTGTTGATGAATAATTGATTATAATTTACCATCATCACCGATAACGTTTACGAGTTATTCGTTGATTCCATTCCTTTTAGTATATATATAATTCCATTCATCTCGTTTCGTTTGTCATTTTGTTCTATCAATGGATCAATCAATCGTTTTAAAGATCCTGGTGAATGTGAGTGTGTTGTGTGTATAAATTTGGTTGGCTCTCCAATGAAAACTAGAATTTGATGAATATTTGATCAAAAAAGTTTGGATCAAAGGATGAAAATTTGCAATCCAAAATATAAAAATTCTCATCATCAACTATTTTGAACTATTCAATGATAAACACAAACACAACACTTGTATTCTCAAAATTAATTCCTTCGATCGATTAATATTTGATCGAAAAAACAGGACAATTTTTTGTCCATTTTCAAATACACAACGTAAGTGTTTTGCAATCATCATCATCATCATTAATTTCAGCTGACCAGATAAATAATAAGTCATTTTTTTCAACATAAAACAAAAAAAAGAAAGAAAATTCACATCTAGTTGCAATTTGTTTCAATTTACAAGATTTATTATCATCATTTTTTTTTTGTCATAAAAATATGAGATTGTAAACATCCAGAATCGTATGAATAATGATGATGATCCACCATGGTGGTAAATGGACATTTTCTTATTATTATGATGACAATGAAGATGATTGAAAATATCAAAAATTGTTGGCAACAAATTTTCCTAAAAAAAACAAAAGAAAAATGAAACGAAACCATGTATTAGTTGACAAGTTATTAATTTTTTTCATCATTAGATCTATATAAAAGACATCGACTCAGATATCATCATGTTATTGATAAAAAAGCATTTGAAAATTTCGATTATTATTTTCATATTGGCAATGATACAATGTCCATTAAGTGGTCATTTTGTTGAGACCATGCTTTAGAATAAGTTTTGAAATATGAAATTCTTTCGTAAACTTATTTCAATAAACAATCTCTCTGGGTTTTATTGTATTCGATGAATAATGAAAACTTGAATGATATGTTTGATAAATGGGTTTTTTTTCAGCGAAAAAAAACCGCAAATCAATCAAGTCAATTGATCAATAATCATCATCGAATTCGATTGATGAGAAAAAAAATGACCAAACATTTTGTATTGCCATCGAACCTTTTACCATATCATCATAGTCGATTAAATTATATATGGAAAAATAAAGTGCGAAAAAAAGCTTGGTCAAACTTACCATTATGATATCAAGCACACACACACCAAAATGGCAAACGAATAAAGACCTAAAGAAAACAAAACAAAACAAAAAAAAAGAAATCAATAAATGAGAACAAAAAATTCAAGAAATTGTCTTACCTATGTAGTAAAAAAAAAAAAAACCCAACAAAACTATTGAAAAATTTTAAATTAAACATCATTTTAAAAGAGAAAAAAAAATCTAACATTTTTATTTCTGTAAATAATGATGATGATAATTAATTAAAGAATGATTGACAAGAATAAAGTGTTTATATCATCATCATCATCATCAACAACAACAACAACATAATGTGTGATTGCCACCATTTGTATAAATTGTTATTATCAATTTTCATAACAAAGAAAAAGTGTGTAATCAACAAATGATATATTTTATACATGTAATAATAAACATAGATTTTTTTTATCTCACTCATTGATATAAAGAAAATTGAATTGGAATTAAACGAATTATAATAATAATAATAATAACGATGATGGTGATAATGATGATGATGATGATGGATAATCCAAAGTTTCTTCTGTTGTTATAAATGTAAATTTTATATATATATCATGATTATGGTTGTTAACTATTTTAAAGAAATTAAATAATGAATGAATGATGATGAATGGTGATGATTATGGATTACAATTAAGGCATCGTGATTGACCATCAATAATAATGATGATAATGGCCATTGATAAAAATCTGTGTTCATATTTTGAGGTGTGAATTTTAAATGAAAATAAATTCTTTGTTCTTCTTCTTTTTGAGGTGTTCACGTAGAAACATACTGTAATTTCCAAATTTTCAAGCGATATAATTTTTATAAATAAAAATAAGCGAAATAAACAAGAAAAAATAAGAAAACATTATTTTCCAATTTTTCAATCAACAAACGTGTGTGTGTGTCTGTATGTAAATATTATATAACAATATCTCATGGATATCACAGCATGATTCAAATATAATTGGGCGCGTGTTTTTTTTTATCAAAATCAAATTGAAATCAAAATTATGAAAAATTCGGATGATTATTTCAGACTTTGAAAAATTTTCAAAGTGCCAGCTAAATAAAAATAAGAAATAAATTGTGCGGGGCAAAGGAAAAAATAAAATAAATAAATAAAAAAATGTCAGAAAACCAAATAAAAAAAAAAACAAGCAACTACTACTAGGTAGTGTGTGGGTGGGTAAATGTTGGTGCCAAAATTCAAGCATATCATCATCATACCTGTTGATAACGGAAATTAACATCCGAAGTTGTTGGTGACGAACCACGATGATTACGGAAACGCTCCATATGGCGACATATAAAATCGTTTACATGGATTCTATTGATGAATTTGAAATGGAAAAAAAACAAATTAGAAAAATTTCACAAAAAAATTCAATCCACTTACTCATGACGATAACGATGTACAACAAATGCAATACAACACAGTATTAATAACGAGAAAATAATTGGAAATGCTAATGAACGTTGATGGCCATTACCATTGGAACCATCATGACTGGATCGACTAGATTTTTGTTGTTCTTCCAATAATGGACATACTAATGGTGTACGCCATAGGAAATAATATTCACAATCATCACTTTCATAAAGAAAGCTAACATCGTTGTTGTTCATCGCTTTATCATTATCATGTTGTTGACGGTAATGTTCATTATCGATACATTCGAAAAATATTTTTGTTGTAGCATTTTTCATTTGATTACGTCCACAACGTGATGTATTTGAATGTATAATCAGCTGTAATGCAATATTACCATCGGATACAAATTGCCATTGATTCAATGTGCCAATATCACGATTTAAACCTTTACCATTTGTTTGACAAATTGCTGCTTGTGAACATTGTTTATCAGCCATTTTTGGATCATCATCACCATTGTTGTTATTATTACGATAAAGATGAATATGATAATCATAATGTTCAACATGGCCATCATGTGTACGGGTTTCACGTACAATAACTTTTTTCTTCAATAATTCACCAAGATCCCAGCGTAAATTTGTAATTGTATCGATAAGAATCATATCGTTTGTTAATAATAAACGATATTCATCATTTTTGATCAGATTATGTGGACATGCAAACGATGTATTCCAAATGAAATAATGTGTACAATCTTTTACGTTGATAAATTTTGGTCCAGCCATACCGGTTTCAGTTGAACATTGAAATTGAATTTTCGTACGTACTGGTGATAAAAACATTTCCGATTCTTGACAACTTAATATATCTTCTTCATAGGTTAACAATAGATGTTTAGTCTCCGGATCTAATGTTAATTCATGATCGGAAACTTTTCCCAAACTTTGTTTACAACCATCTTTATCATTACATTGACAAACGGCCGATGATTTTTCACATGTATTATCGTGTATTTTTGTCGGTTTTTGAAATGTTTTCGGTGATAATGGTTTACAAACATTAATCAAATAATGGTCATTATCTGTATTATTTATTTCAACACGCCATGAATGTGATAATGATGATAATTGTCGTAATGAATAATAATTACCATCCGAATCGAATAATGAACAAGTTGGTACCTTTAGGCTACAAACGGCTGGTGTTTCCCAATAAATTTTCACTAAACATTTATCATAATGTGAAATGATTGGTTTGGATTGTTTCGGTGAACAAGCCAATTCAATATCAGTGGAACGTTTACGATTTGATAATGATTTTTTATCACATGGATCACCATCACTATAACGTATATGTAGATTTTGTTTCACATAAATATTCATTTTATCCATTGATCCATAACTGGTTAGACTTTTATCAACATCTGAAAAACAAACAGCTTCATTTGGACCACATTTAACTGATCCAACTGGTTTACAAAAGTTTAGAATAAATCTTGCACTATTACGATTTACTGGATTTTTCGTATAGATTTCATAATCAATCATTTGTTTCAATAAAAATAAATCAGCCGATAGATTTGTACGTGTATCGGTATAAATACAATTTTCATCAAGTTTAGTTTCAGTCAATTTTTGTGCACAGGCAATCGGTGATTGTACAATAAATTCATATGTACATTTATGACGATCATTTGGATCCACTTGCATTATTTTGATCATTTGTCCAGATTCATGATCACATTCCATACGAAAACTACTGGTTAAATTCACTGTTGGATCATATGGACATGGATCACCATTATCTAACATAATATGAACATTTCCATCATAGCCCATGAATGGTGGTTCAGATGGTTCGCCAAGATTCAATGCCGTAGCTACTTTATCCGATTGATGCATTTGTAACATACAAGCAGCTGAATTCGGTTTACATAGTTTTGTCAATAGATTTTTTTGACGATTCAATGATTTGCAAAAATTAATATTGATAATTGTCGAATCATCACTCAATACGAAATGATTGCCAACACTCATCGATAGTGGACTAAAATCAATGAAATGTGTTTCATTTTCAAATGTACAATGACTTGTTTTCGGTACTTGTCCAACACAGGCTAATGATGTATACCAAGTGAATGAATATGAACGATTTGATTCGCCAATAAATTCTGGATGACCTTTGCCAGCTGTCTCATCACAGACGAACGATATATGTGATTTACGTGGTGTACGATTAACATCATTATATGGATCACCATTTGTAAATGTCATATTTAGAATTGAATTCCAATAGACTAATTTATCATGAAAATTACCAAGACTAAATTTTCGTTTTTGACCATCAAGTTCTATTTGACAGATTGCCGTTTCAGCTCGTTGACATGAACCACCAATAATCGGTCCACAAAGATTCAATTCAAAGTCATATTGATCACCACGAACAATATAATAATTTGCTGATTTCAATGATGTTAAATCAAATGAATTTCCAGTGAATGAATCATAAACTTGACAACCATCACCAACAACCGGATTTATTGGACAAGCAGCCGGTGTACGAAATTCAAACACATATTCTGAATTTTCCATATCGAAATCAATTGCATCTGGCTTTTCTTGATACATTGAACAGATGAATATAATTCTTGTATTAACAGTTTTGTTGCGAATAAGATCAAAACCACCTGCATATAATAATTCAAATGTTTTTGCTCGCTCGTTATAGGTGATTGGATGATTAAAATCACCAATACTGAAAGATAGATTATTGGTTGAATCAATTAAACAAGCAGATGAATGATGACAAATTTCTGGAACATTTTTGCTGGTAGTTATCGATGGTATACGATCACAAACATTGAATAAAAATTGCTTATTGGGCGATCGTATATGATGAAATGATTTAGATAATCGTAATGATGATAGATCAACTTGAACAAGATTTCTATTCGAATCCATTGTAATTAATGAACAATTCAATCGAGATTGTTCAAACAATGGACATACGATTGATGTTTGCCAACGAAATTTATAAATACATGTATCACTTTCAAATCGAATAAATTCTGGTCGTTGAGATTTTAAGGCATCATTAGATGAATTATCACATTCAAGCTCAATAATTGTACGAGAATTCATTAGATTTCCTTGATCATTTTTACATGCAGAATTTTTCGAGGAAAACACAATACTTAGACGATTATCAGCTTTGAAAAATTTTCCTTCAGTTTTTGAACCGATTGATTCACTAACACCACCATCAACTAAACAAACTGATGATGTCGATGAACATTTTTGACTGACCGAGCCACAAATATTCATTATAATTGTTTTGTTTTGATTTCGAATGGATAGATTTTCAAATACAAATTCTGTTCGAGGTAATGATTTCAGATTAATCTGTTCAAATTGACATGTATTCGAATCGATAGATTTTCCAATCATATCCATTGGACACGCATAATCGGTAATCCATTCGACAATATATTCACAATCTAAATCCGAAATTAATATCGGATAATTACGATACGAAACACTTTGTGATAAATGTCGTGGACATATAAAACGAATTTTTGTCACAGGATTACAATTTGACGTTGGTGTACGATAATAAGTAAGTTCAATGATTTCACGTTCATTTTGTTGATTCGATGGGATAAATTTCATATCAGACCATTTATAAGTTCCAACTGATTCCATGAAACCACTTTTTGAACCAGTAGTCAATTGACATGCTGATGAACCTTCTAGTGTTGAGCAACGATTTTCCGTACCACCAATATCGGAACAAACATTTATATAAAATTCTTTTGAATCAGCCATCACTTGATAACTACCATTTGTACGTATCAATGGTGTAAGATCACGAATACGATTATTATTATCCAAAACATAGCATTTCATTTCATTCAAACCAAATGATAATGTCGGTTTTTGTTGTCGACATGCAGCTGATGTTTCCCAATTCAATATGATCATACATTTGGATTTAATCGAAACAATTGGAAATGATGGATGTCCCTATGTATTTAACAAATTCACACATCATAGTTTTACTTTTGAAAAAAAGAATAAAACTTACCAAATGATTTCCACATGTAAATCGTAGATGAATTGTATAATTAACTTGATTATCACAAGATGGACCAATATAAATGGCACGTGTTGTACCAAATTCAGATAAAACATGTTTTAATTGGTAGCCAAACGATCGAATACGGCCATTATTATTATCAGTTATATTGTGACAAATATGACTTTGTTTACATTCATTTGGAATGTAATAATTTTTATAATTAGATGATTGATTAAATGTTGAACATGGTGATATGTCAATGTAATCCTGATCACGTGCTACATTCCATGGTGTAGAACCACTTTTTGTTTTTTGTTTGATTGACAAAAACAAGATTTTGATTAGTTTCGAATAAAATTAGTAGCCAATTTACTTACATATTCAATGCATGTGAATCAATATGGCCATTATCACCACAAATATCCAATTCATTGGATAATTTTAAATTTTTCGATGCCGATTCTGCTGTTGCTGTTGATGATAAAAAGGTGATGATGATAAAATATATGATGAGCAATAATGATAATGATGATGATGATGATGAGGAACGAATTTTAATTTTCGAGATCATTTTTTGTTTGTTTGAATGGAGAAACTGTTTTTTCAACAATTTCAAATTAATTTTACAACATTTGATGATGATGGCGATGATGATGATGATGAGGTAAAAGAAAAACGTTTAAAAGGAAAAAAACAACTGTTAAATTATTTTCTTCAATTATTTCCTTGCATTCAAAGTCAATGCAGTATTTGTATTTGATGATGAGTTTGACGTGATGATTAATAATAAATCTTATTATTATTGAGTTTCGAATTTCAAGCGATTTTTGTGTTATAATGTGGTTATGATGGACAATATAGATATGTGTGTGTGATTAAGTTGAATGAGATGGTGGTGATGAAATCAAAATGTTCAGTGTTTCCAATGTCGAAAGATTTTTTTTTTTTTGCTTTAACAAATAATTCAATGATTTCAATCGAAAAACAATCAAACAAATTCACATTTATTCAAACAAACAAGCGATCAAAATGAAATCAATGTTTTTTATATTGAAAAATTTTTTTTCACTGATTTAAAATATCACAAATGATGATGAATTCAGTTTTGATGATGAAATTTTTCAATTTTTATCGTTCATTGAATCATCATCATCATCATCATATACGCAGATTTACATGGCTTTGAAAGTGAGAATGATGGTTCGTGTGTGTGTGTGTGTGTGTATAACAAAAACAAGCAATAAATAAAACTTATATATATTTCAAGACATATATCAAAATACACAAACAATCATTATGACTAAGCTATATGTATTTGTCATTCATACCGCTACATTATAAAATATTATATGCCGGTAGCGGCATATTACAATGTGGTGGCCCCAAAATTATCATCATACGATATATAATGTGTACTGTGCATAGATGACGTTTCAAGTATATATACTTTTTTATGTCAAAAATGTTTGAATCTTAATAAAATCATCATCATCATCATCATCACATCTGAAAATACAAATCATCAGATCAAAATGAAATAAAATGTGATTTGAATGAAAAAAAAAATTTCAAAAATTAAATGTACTTTTTGTCGCAATTTCAATGCAATCATCATTGTACCAAAAAAAAAAAAAAAAAAAAAAATTAAGGTTCAAGGTTTTTTCTACTTGATCTGGTTGTTTCCCTTTTTTTTCTTGTCATACACTTGTCATGGCAATGAAACAAAAAAGATTTTATCATTCTAATCGTAGTTGTTTCTTTTTTTTTCTCCAGTACGTTTTTTTTTCCACTACACTAAGACAATGATCTCAAATGTTGTAGCATTGTTTAACGATTACAATCCACGTATCCTTGATACGAAATGAATTCAACCAAACTAAACTACTATATACTAAATAAATCGACAAAAATCAATCCAAGAAAATTTTTTTTCGATTTAGATCAACATGTCTGGAATAATATAATAAATATAATTTAATTATGATAACATTGTCGTTGGTGATGATTGTGTTAAACTAATAACAACAACAACATTAATGATAAAATAAATAAATCCGACAAACAACTAACTGTATATCTTTATATAAAGTATGATATGCGTATATGATGATTGTCAACAATGACAACAACAACAACAACAACCCGAATGTGTGATACATATCACGATGGCAAATCATATGATGATGATGATGAAAAGGTGTATGATGATGAGGTGTGTGTGTTATTCGCTAATTCGTTTTTCTTCATAACGACAAAGTTCAATAAAACTTTTCATAATAATAAAAAAAAATGACTGCGTAATAAAAATTAACAAATGAAAATAAATGACAACAACAAAAAAAAATTGTTTTTGACAATTAAATCTTTGTTTCGGTTGATTTTTTTTTATTATTATTTAGGATTCCTTGATTTACTACTAATCGAATTTATTAGATTATTATTTTTAGTTGTTCATTTGTTTGTTATTTATGATATTTTTAGCCATCCAAATATTGTATCATCAAGGACATTAAAGACATTGATGATGATGATGATGATATGATAAGATGATAAATGATTTAATCAATTTGGAAATCTTTTCAGACATTTTTTTCTCTTTTCTATTGACAATCGAAAGTTACTCGGAATTTGCGCACAGCTGACTATGAAAAATTAGAAGAAAAAAATATTCTCCACGTGGAAGTATTTTTCCTTTGTTTCAATTAATGTTTTGTTGAATAAAGTTGTTTTTTTCGGTTCAAAAAAATTCTTCGATCATGTCATCTGATGAAGAAATTCGTAATCATCTTTTGTGGCTCGGATTGGCCGATGATAAAGTTAAAGATACAATTAAAAATGAATCGTTGACAAAATTGTTGATGGAAATGATTGCCACATTACGGCAGAATATTGATCCAAATTCAAAGAATCTTGATCGAAATATAGGAAAATTAGTCTATCAGGCGGCCACCACTTCAAAGGCACAAATTCGCCATCACCTACCGATGATAATCGAATACATTGCTAAAGAAAAAATCGACAGTGAACCAAAATTATCCGCTGCAATTGAATATCTTTTGACAAATCCAACTTCGGTTGATATGAAAGAATTTGAAACAAATGCTGGTGTTGATGTTGTCATTACTACTGAACAAATTAGTCAAGCAGTTGCCAACGAAATTGAAAAGAATCACCAGGAATTAATCCAAAAACGATATCGATTCAATGTTGGTATTATTATAACGGAAGCACGAAAAGCATTAAAATTTGCCGATGGTAAAGCAATAAAAACCGAAGCTGATAAACAGATTCAAAAATTGTTGGGACCAAAAACCGAACAAGATATGGCTAAACCGAAAAAAGAAAAACAGCCCAAACCATCAAAAGAAATCATAACAAAAGAAGAAGAATGTAGAGATATTATTGAATTATTACGACGTGTAAATTTTCATGGAATTGGAGAAAATTATAAGACTGATGGTTATGTAATAACATCGAATACAATGCGATTATTGGCCGAACATTGTAAAGCTGTTAATGGCCGTGTACGAACACGATTTCCACCCGAACCAAACGGCATCCTGCATATTGGCCATGCAAAAGCGATAAACATAAATTTTGGCTATGCTGAAGCACATGGTGGTGATTGTATTCTACGTTATGATGATACAAATCCAGAAAAAGAAGAGGAACGTTTTGTTCATTCAATTCGTGATATGGTTGAATGGCTTGGTTATCGGCCATATCAGATAACATATTCATCCGATTATTTTGATCAACTTTATGAATTGGCTGTGAAATTAATAAAACGTGGATTAGCTTATGTTTGTCATCAGAAACCTGAAGAATTAAAAGGTTTCAATCCACCACCATCACCATGGCGTGATCGTACGATTGATGAAAATCTTCAATTATTCGAAGCAATGAAATCTGGTAAAATTGGTGAAGGTGAAGCTACGTTACGAATGAAATATACTATGGAAGAAGGAAAAGTTGATCCAGTTGCATATCGAATTAAAATGGCTGCACATCATCGTACCGGACGTGAATGGTGTATATATCCAACGTATGATTTTACTCATTGCCTGGTGGATTCAATGGAAAATATAACACATTCATTATGCACAAAAGAATTTCAAACTAGACGTTCAGCTTATTATTGGCTTTGTAATTCATTAGATGTATATTGTCCAGTACAATGGGAATATGGTCGTTTAAATGTTTATTATACGGTTGTATCGAAACGTAAAATAGCCAAATTAATTGATGAAGGTATCGTTGATGATTGGGATGATCCAAGATTATTTACATTAACTGCATTACGTCGTCGTGGTTATCCATCTGCTGCTATTCGAATGTTTTGTGCACAAATGGGTTTAACCGGTGCAAATACAGCCGTTGATCCAGTAATGTTAGAAGCGGCTGTACGTGATGTTCTTAATACTACTGCACCACGTGCTATGGCCGTATTACAACCATTACGTGTGATTATCGTTAATATGCCACAAAAATCTACACCAACATATCTGGAGATACCAGATTTTCCAGCCGATTCAAATTCAGCTAAACATACAATACCGTTTGATCGTGAAATATTCATTGAACATGATGATTTTCGTTCCGATGATTCGGATCCAGATTTTCGTCGTCTAACACCACGACAATTGGTTGGCCTTCGATATGCAAATTGTGCTATTCGTTTGAAGCAAATACATCGCCGTACAGATGATGATAAACAAATTGATTATATTGAAGTTGAATATGAACCAATTGATCAATTGAAAGAAAAACCACGTGCTTTTATTCATTGGGTTTCACATCCATTACATGCTGAAGTTCGCCTTTATGAACGATTATTCAATCATAAAAATCCGGAAGATCCAAATGAAGTTCCCGGTGGTTTTATTTCCGACTGTAATCGTAATGCTAAAACTATAATACCATTTGCATTGGTTGATATTTCAGTTAAATATGGCCAAATTTATCAACAATTTCAATTTGAACGTCTTGGTTTTTTCAGTGTCGACACCGATTCAAGTGTTGGACGTCTTGTGTTCAATCGTACTGTTTCATTGAAAGAATCATTTACAAAAACGTAAATGATTCCAATCCTAGAATCTTATTATTTTTCTTAAATTTAACTAATTTTTTCAATAAAAAATAAAAAAATTCATTTTAATGATGATTCAATAAATTTTAAAATTCTAATCATTGATATACTTGCAACGTGTAAACATTCAACTTGGCACGTGTTTTGATTCTAAAATCAGCAATAATTGTGAAAAAAAACATTCCATCGAAACAAAATCATGGTAAAATCAACCATATCACCAGAAGAATTTGTATCGACAGCTCGATGGCTTCGAGATCCACAAAAATCGATGGCCATACGTTTTCGAGCATTGTTTACGTTGAAAAATATTGGTGGCCAATCAGCAATCGATCATATTGGCAAAGTTCTATTCGAAGATGATTCAGCTCTATTAAAACATGAATGTGCTTATTGTCTTGGACAAATGCAAGATGTTTATGCAATTGAAATTTTATCCAAAGTTTTAGCCAATACCATGGAACATCCTATGGTTCGTCATGAAGCTGGTGAAGCACTTGGTGCAATTGGTACGGATGAATGTCTTAAAATTCTACAGGTAATTGAAAATTGTTTTTTCAGTAAAAAAGTCTTTGACTTTAATTCAATTTAGAATTATGTCAATGATAGTAGTAAAGATGTTGCCGAAACTGCTCAACTAGCGGTGAATAGGATAAAATATCTTCGTAATTGTTCTGAAGAGCAAACAACAACATCCGATTCGGATCATTCCATTTATTCATCGGTTGATCCGGCTCCAGCATTAGGTTTAAAAAATGATGATCAAAAAAAGATTGAAAATCTTCGTCTTGTTTTAATCGATCCAAATGAATCATTATTCAAACGATATCAATCAATGTTTTCACTACGTAATTTAAATACCGATGAATCAGCAATGGCATTGGCCGATGGTCTTGATTGTCAAGATTCGGCATTATTTCGTCATGAAATTGCATTCGTTCTTGGCCAGATGCAACGTCCAATAACCACGGCGAAATTGGCTAAAGTTTTGGCTGAAAAATCTGAAAATGAAATGGTACGTCATGAATGTGCAGAAGCATTAGGTGCAATTGCAACGGATGAAACAAATCAAATTCTTAAAAATTACCTGAATGATGATGTTCGTGTTGTTCGTGAATCAGCTATCGTTGCTTTAGATGTATCTGATTATAATAACAGTGAACAATTTCAATTTTTAAATAATTGATTTATTTAATTTAATTTTAAATTAAAATTCAAAATGAAATTATTTACAAAAATTTCAATTACAAATCAATCAATCGTTAATCTTTATAATCATCGTGTTTATCATTATAAGTATCGATACTATCACGAAATTTATCCGTCCATGTAATGAAATCTTCATGATTTCTTGTTACCAAAAATGCTGGATCCTGTATGACATTCGGTCCAACTCTAACATGGCCATGTTTAACATATTTAACTAAATAGAAAATTATTCAATTATTATTTGAGATAAAAAACAAATCTAAGCAAAACACAAACCAGCAACTTCTAATGGTCCGTTAAACATTCCGGATTTTATCATATAGACAGGAAGTCGACGACGACAAAATGTACTGACACAAATATCTTTACATCGTTTCAATCGTTTCGTATGAATCAATCCAATTGAATATAATTTTTCAATCAATTGTGCTGAACATTCATTACGAAATTCATTATCCGTTTCAAGTGTTGATAATTTCTCGGCCAATTGACGTATTTCGGCTGCAAGTTTATTATATTTCGTATATTCATTACGATCAACACCATATTTTCGCATCATACGTAATTCATTCAGATTGTTAGGTTCCCATTGTATAAAGTTGACTTTACGAAGAAGTTTTTTCTCATGAAATCGTAATTTTCGTACCATTTTTTTCAAGTTTGGATTACAAAAAAAATTCTGTCAAATGAAAATAAATTCCAATGAAATCAATACAAAAGAGAAAATCAGAACAAAACTGCATGCAAATGATCACATGGTTTCCTCGAAACTTTTTTCTCGATATATTTCACAAGAAACTTTTCCGTGTCCACGTCTCAAGTTTTTTCCCAGTTTGATTCATTAATCTTTGATTTTTTCAAAACAAAAAATAATTCCATCAATCATGGCCGATGCTGATCTTCCTATCGATATACAAACTAATAAATTATTGGGTATGTGTTCACATTGGAATCCAATTTGACTATAGTAATAATGATTTTCAAATTCCATTAATTTCGATAAAATGATGATGATGATAATAGATTGGCTAATTAGTCGTCGTCATTGTAAAAAAGATTATCAAAAATCAGTCGATACAATTCGTAATAAGATACGATTGGCCATACAAGATATGCCACAGATTGATGAAGTTCGTGAATTATTACAACGTAATGGTAAGTTTTTGTTTAATTCAATTTTTTTTTTTTGCAAGAAATCGTCTGACCATTTCTCTATTATTAGTATTCGATTATTATGTCTGCCAACGTATAATTGAAATATTGAAAAATACGGATAAAAGTTCGAAAAATATTTTTGGACAATATACATCGAAAAGATTTCAGGATTGGCAAGAAATTTGTAAAATTTATGAAAAAGATAATGTTTATCTAGCTGAAGATGCACAGACATTGATACGAAACGTGAACTATGAGGTACCATCATTGAAAAAATGTCAATCTAAATATGAACAACAAATTTCCGATATTGAACGATCAATCGAAACAAGCCAAAAACAATCGAAAAATTTTCTTAATGAATATAATGCTAACTGTAAAAAATTGGCTATTAATGGTGATAATATACGTGATGAACTTTATTCACAATTGGAAATATTACCAGAAAAAATGTCTATTCTTGCCGAAAAGATACCGTCATTAATATCGGTTTGTAATTATTATAAAGCATTCGTACATTTTGTATCACAACAAAGGTATGATGATAAAAAGTTATGTTATCTACGATTAATAATCGATTATATTATTATTTATAGTGAAATTGAATGTTTACCAAATCTTCATTATCTATTGGCTAAAGGTAATACTACATGGTATGAATATCGTACTGGCCATATACCTGATTCAATTGAAGAAGTAAAACTTGGCAAATCATCATTGATAGCCGATAATAGGGATGAAAATGTTATTGATTTTGGTAATGATAATAATCAGATTGATTTTGGTGATCAAATTGATTTCGGTGATGATGATCAAGCATCATCAACAGATACACCATCCACTGGTAATGGTGATTTTGTTAAATTAGATAAAGAAGATTTAAATGTTGAAATTGATGAACCAATCAAAGTGATTGATGATGAATATTCCAAACATTCAGAAGAACAACAATTGGTAAAAATTGCACATGGTGAAGATGCTCTTAGCGTTTTGCTTCATACGGAATTTCGAAATAAATTCATCAATGAATTGATTGAAATTGAATATTTCTTACGTGAAAGAATCGATGAAATGGAATCTGATCATGCATTAGCGTCATATCTGTTTCAATCGGCCCCAAGTGTTGTACAATTGACCGGTATTGATGGTCTACATGAAATGATGACCATCGTCATACAATTACGAGAAGAATTTGAATCACCTGCATTGAAAGCATTGTATTATATGAAAAATAGTCCAAAATATATTGAAAATTTATACAAAAAATTGAATCATTTGAAAATATTATCAGAAAAAGCAACGAAAAAAGCCACAGATTTAGAAATGAAACGTTCGGAATTATTACAAGAATTATCTGGTATCGGACCACAAATTCAGGAACAAATTCAACATACAAAACACATTCAACGACGGGTGAGTTTTTTTTATCAATTATAATTGGGTTTTTTTGAATTTTTTCTCATTGATTTTTTTTTTCTTCAAAATTTTTCAGATCGAAGATGCAATATCGAAAAAATACAATAATCGAATGGTAAACATTATGGGCGGTGTACAGGTGTTGTGAACAAAAAAAAATGTGTTTATCATATTGTCGTTATTTTTTTTACAAATTGAAATTGTTTTTTTTTGAAATTTTTTTTTATTCATGAAACAAAACAAAACAAAAAATTTTAAATAAAATAAATAAACAAACAAAAATAGTTGAAATGATGAAGATAAAAAGTTTACAAAATACACATAAATAACAGTAAATTACATTACATCATATATTATTGACTATGGAATATTCCATTCGATTCTATATTGACATGTATGGTTTCCGTTTATGTTCGGGGGGGGTTTTGTATATATTGGGAGGGGGTAACCATCAATAATAATTCGAATGTATTGGGAATTGATTCGCAAAGCGAATCAAAAAAAAAAAAAAAAAAAGAGATCACTGAAAAGGTCTGAATGATGAGAATGAAAAAAAAAATTTCTTCTTTTATTTTTTCTGTCACCGTAGTGTAGATGTGTTTCCGCCGCTTTTTGTTTTAATTGTTGGTAAATTTTTTTTCCGTTGTTAGAAGAATATGTTAGTTAAACTGTGTATTAAATTACGTTTTGTACGACACGATGGTTTACTCGTTGGACAACGATGTTTACTAAGACATTTGGCAAATCTTCTATCACATTCACAAAGTTGATAGGCACATTTTTGATGGGAATCAGGATGCTTAACGTATGCTATTGTTTTGTTTTTTGTTTGTTTTTTTTTGTTTTAAATAAAAAATGAATGATTGATTGATTGATTGATCAATTGACACAAACACACACACTTACCACAGCTGGCACGATGATTTTTTTTACATTTCCATTTATATGAAACAAAATAGACTAATGCTTGATTACAATCGCTATGTGCATAACACATATCATGCATATAGCAGCATCTAATTACAGAAAGTGAGAGTTAGGGAGAGAGAGAGAGAGAGAGAGAGAGAGAGAAAAAAAAAAATTTGAAAAAATTTTCAATTAACAATCAAAACAAAACAAAAATAATGATGTGTGATAATACGAACCTATCGATAGCATCAACAGGATGGCCATCACCTTGAAAACCACAATAACATCCATAATCTTTATAGCTAAATGGATTACAATGTGTTATACACTTTATCATTGATGCAAGACCAATAACACCACGTTTAAATCGTCGTCGCTGTTCTTGTTGTTGTTGTTGTTGTTGATGGTCAAGGCCACCATTATCATTATCATCATGGTCAATGACATCTTGACTAGCCATCATTAATGTTTTATTAGCTTTATTATTATCATAATCTTCATGATGATCATCATCATAATGGAAATCGTTATTATCGTCACCATTGTTGTTGTTGTAGTTATCATCTAATTCTAAAGAACATTTAATTGAAATTAGACAAAACAAAAAAATATGAAAAAACCGAATGTGATGATGAACCATGGTGTGATTAATAACAACAAGAACAATGATCGTTAATAAAATAAAACAAAATCAATAATCGAAAATTAAAAGGTTCTTTATCTCACAAGAATAATCAGAGCGTTTTATATATTTGTGTTTGTCCATAGTTGAGTGAAATTGTATTAATAGGTCCAAGATTCTAATGAATTTAATTATGGCCATTATATTATTGCCGATTTTTAACAGTTTAATTTACAAACTTTTATTTTCGTTTGTTTGTGTGTTTGAATAACAACAAATCACAATATAATTATCCGATTGGGAAACAAAAACCAATTAACACACCATAATCATCATCATCATCATCATTATTTTTAATCATAAAAATTCATTATTCAAGATTAATAAACAAAACAAAAATTGATTAATATGAATAAATTGTCATTTGAACCAATCAATAATCGATCAAAAGAGCCAGGGAAAAAAAATTTCGAATGACTAAAACCAGCTTCAATATCTAATTGAGATAATCTACTATCCACATGCCACTACTAACCTAATGAGAGAAATAAAAAACGCTAAAACTACCATTTTTCTCCTTCACCTCCACCCCCACCACCACATTATCTTGGGCAAAAAAAATCCAGTTGTCAGTAAACGTTACATAATGATAAATAATATAGATATATATAATAAAGTCAATTAGATCTGTTTTTTTTCCAAACAAACAAACAAACAAAAAAAACAATTAACCGACTAAAATGATGAAAATAGCAAAAAAAAAAAAAAAAAAAAAAAGAAATTTCATTCAAGTAAAATGTGAACAAAAAAAAAGCGCAAAATTGAAACAACAACAACTAAACCAAACGTATAAACATTAAATGAAAATATAATTATCTTCATTTATATTTTCTTTTCTCAGATTTTATTTCAGATTTTAACTCCTAGTAGCACAGTAGTATTGTCTTGAAAAAAAGTGATAATTTTTTTTTGTAGAAAAAAAATTTACCAACAGGAAATGAAATAGACAACAACAAAAAAAACACTTGCACGTGCAAACTTTGATACTGATGATCAAGTATTTTTATTCTACAATTCTTACCGATAGGTATGATGGAATAATTTAATCTTTGCTGTTGTTGTATTGATGAAAATTGTTCCGTAAAAATTGACGATTGATAATTGATAAATAAAATGGCAATAAATGTTATTGATACTAGAATAGTAATCAATTGTGATCGAATGATTAGATGAATTAGATTTTTAGATGATGATTGTTGCATTTGTTGTTGTTGTTGTTGTTGTGGTTGTTTTCGAATTAAATGTTCATTATTCAAATACTTGGCCATAGTAATGAATTTTTTTTCGTTTTATTTTTCTCACGATTGTGTTGTTGTTGATTAAATCTTGATGATTCAACTTTGAAATCAGGACTAGAATCAAAATAATATTGCCACTTTTTATCTGAATATTTAACCAATTGATTAATTCATTTGAAACAGGTGTTGGTTACTGCATGGAATGAAAAAAAAATGTACAGAATATCAAATATTTCAATGACAAAATCTGTTTTTTTTTCTGTTGTTGTTGTTGTAACTGACAAAATAGTTGTGAAATTGGTGTGCACGTAATAACATAAGCAGCCGGAAAAAAACGTTGAATTCTGATTACACGAATACATACGAACAGATAGTGTGAAATAAACACAAACAAAATGTGATTATGATTTGAACGTTTTTTTTCTGGAAAGAAAGAATAGTATGAGTTGGGAGGGAAGTAGAGGAAATGGATATCATTTGTTGAATTTTATTTGCAGATCAATTGTTTTTTTTTGATTTCACTTTATAAAAAATCTCTTTATATTTTTTTTTTTTTCACAAACAAAACGCAATCAATGGCGTCAAATCGATGAATCAAACAAAACAAAACAGCAACAACAACAACAATGACAAAAAACTGGTAATAAAATCATCAGGTGATTGTTATTCAAATTTATATTTAAACAGGGGACAAGAAATTGATATTCAAATTGTTGTTTTTCTATTTGATTCACAATTAGCTGATTTGTTTTTTCTTTTGGCCATCATCGATGTCATGTTTTTTTTTGTCACAAAATTTTTTGATTTCAATTTTAATTGTTGCTGTTGTTGATACTATTGTAAATGGCCATCAGATCAGATCATTGATCAAAGATGTATTGAATGATAGTGATGATTATTTTTGGCCATGATTATGACGTTAATACGTCCATCATTACCATTACCATCACCATCACCATCACCACCGCCACCACCACCACTATCACGATCATCACTATAATTCACATTCATTAAAAGATGATAAAAACAACAACAACAACAACAACAATATCGACGACATTGATGTTGACCACGACCACAACAACAATCGTAAACAACGATAAACATTATTAATATTGATTACCATTATTATTCACCATTATTTTTTTTTTTCTTAGATGATAAATAAATAAATGATGAATAACATATATTATTCGCAAATAATTTCCAGAAGCTTCAGGCTTAATTATGATTATTACATTCTGGACATTGGATTCATCCATTCCAGTGTGTGTTTATAATCAATCTATTTATATGTTTGTTAGACAACACTTGTTATTGAATATTGGCAAACATTATACGCACATATTAAGAAGAAAAAAAAATGGTGTGAAAATAAATAAGAAAAAAAAATATTGATATTGAAATGTGTTGACAAACAAAACATAAATATTTCAATGAAAAAAAACAAATTCACAATCATGTATTCATTTGTATATGATTCAGATGAAATCATTGCTTTTTAAATGATTCAAACTATGTTTCTGGAACACATACGCACACACAAACACACACAGAAACACGAGCCATGTGCATTTTGTGTGTGTGTGTGTGTGTTACTTACGAAAAAAAAGATTATTTCATTTAATTTTTTTTTCGGTCGAAAAAAAAGGAAAAGAAAACAAAAATCTTTATGTCCTTTTGTTTTTCATTTTCACAAATTCAAAATCATCCATCGTTCCAAAGAGTTTTTTTTTCTTGGGATTTGCATTTATATTTCGGTATTATTATCATTGATTGAAGGCGGTCATCATATAATAATAAACTTTAAGAAGTTTATAGTGGGCAATGGAGAGAGAGAGAAAGCGAAAGAAAGAGAAATTTAGAACACTCGATTTCACTCTCACCATTTATTTTGGCGCCAAATCTTTTTCTTTTTCATTTTCATTTTCATTTTGTTGTTGTTGTTGTTGTCATTATACTTGTGCTTATATAATTTTCTTTTTTTTCGTTCAAATAATTATTTTTCAATTTGTAGATTTTCTGTTATTGTTGTTGTTGTTGTTGTTGTTGTCGTTGCAGTTTTCTTTAAATTATTATCATCATTATTGTGTGGACAAAATTGTTTTTTTTTGTTTCGTAAAACAGTAGTAATTTTCAACATTTATTTTCTTTTAAAATCCAGATTTTCAATTTCAATTTTCAACAAAAAAAAAACAACAACAACAACAACAATAAAATGTACAAAATTATTTGATTGAAACCTTGAAATGGCTGTTGTTGTTGTTGTTGTTGTTGTTGTCACTTTTTTTTATTGATATTGGTCAATATCATCAACATTATTTGAGATGTATTTTTTTTTTTTAAAATTTTATTTTATTTTTTTTACAAATTTCAATTCAATTCGAATCAACTGATTGATTGATGAATTTGGCACAAGGAGAATACGACAACAACAACAACAACATTTTTTTTGATGGATTCCTAATTTTACAATCATGTCATATTTTTAATGGATAATTTTTTTTTTAATATCATTCATTGACCTTAACCTGTTAATCTCCTTTTTTTTCTGCTTCTGTTGCTGTTGTTGTTGTTGTTGTACATTTTATCCATATCATATCATATCATATTATGAGAGATGAAAGGATTTATGTCAATGACATTTATAACAATGATAATTTAAATGACAATTTGTAAATCAAATGAAAAATATTTCTATGATGATAATTTGTTGTTGTTGTTGTTGTCCTTGTTGTTGTTGTTGTAATTGATTTGATTTCAAAGCCAATTTGTAATGAACGAGATTTTGTAAATTGTTGTTTGTCATTTGAATTTGAAGGTTAATCATTTCTTATTATTATCTGGTTGAGAACACTATTACAACAGCGTTAATTGATGGATAAGTGGCCACCAAAAAAAAAACTCCACATTTCTATATCAATTTCTAGGTCATAGGAGAAATGGTATATCATATCTTTTCGGTCAAATATTGTCTTGTTTTTATGTGTTATTACGAACGAAAAAAAAGAAAAACGTTTTGTTGTTGTTGTTGTTGTTGTTGTAGCATCAATTCGCGATCGATTGAAAATTTTCACAAATTTTTTTTTCTTCCATCAAAAAATAGATTATGTGAATATTGATGAAATTTAACATTCACTCGAAAAATAAATAGATATATAATAATATAGTTGTCAGATATATATCAGATTGAAAATTTGTTTGCTAGATTGATTTGTTGTTGAACTTTTGTTTTGTTTTTTTTTGATAAATTGTCAAAAAAACATAATCTGACCCGTTTGAATGTCAAATGTCATGCACACACACACACACACACAGATTCATTCAATCATTTATCGGTCAATCATTAGTCCGGAAACAGTGATATATTATATTTTTTTTTCTATTGAACTTTGGTGATATAATCGGATTTGTTTCGTTTCTTATTTTTACATCAATGTATGTTGTTGTTGTTGTTGTTGCTCTGATTTTTTTCTCTAGTTCCATCATTATAAATCAAAACAATTGATTTTGGATTCATTAGGAAAACGAATTTTTCATTTTTTCCTTGTTTCAAATTTCACTTGACCAATTTTTTTTTCTTTTGAGAAATATAATAATGGACAAAGGAATAAAGGAAAGTTACAATTGTGATCCACTGTGTGTCTGTGTGTGTGTGTGTTGATTGATCTTGATAAATGTAGAGAAACTTTTTTTTTTTTTTTTTTCCGATCGATTCGATCCAAAAAATAACCGAAAAAACATGATTATGATGACCGAATCAAAGATGAATGATTTTTTTCGGCGTTTTCTTTCTTTATTTCGCATCATTTTTTTTGATGATTTGCTTCCTGTATCACACGATGGTGATGATGATGATGATGAAGATGAAAATGTCAATACCTGGGCCATATTATTTTGCGATCGATATATTTTTTTCAATACACAAGACTATGATGATGATGATGATGATGATAAAATCAGATGCATTCATACAACAATTGAATGAATGGAAATGAAAATTCAAGATTATAACATGAACAATCGGGATCGATTACTATATTTTTTTTGTTTGGTTTCTGCTCTTTGGTGTAGAGGAAAAATTTACACACACACACACACACACACATAGAAAAACAAACTATCATATGACAATGGAACTGAAATATTATCTTATGGATACACGTGTGTGTGTGTATGTGTGTGTCAAATAACCATCATGATTATCGGTGATGAATGTTGGTGGATGGATTGAATCATCATCATCATCAAAGACATCATCATTTATAACAAATGACATACGGTCAATGACGATGATGATGATGATTCAATAAATGAAAAATCTTTTCCGGTATTTCACACAAACAAACAAACAAAAAAAATCCGTTTATTCAATTCCATTCATTATAACGCCTTCATCATCATCATCATTATCAAGGCAGATTTTATTATCGATTTTTTTTCTGTGCATTTGTTTGTTTGTTTGTTTGTTTCGAGTGTCAAAACACACACACACACACACACACACAAAGCAGACTTTTTCAAGAAAAAACCGGTAAAGATCATCATCACAATTTGCAGTGAAAAAAAAAGTGAATAAAGAAAAAAAAAGAAGTCAAGTAGAAGCCTTGGCCTTTCAGCATCATTCATTCATTCATTCATCGTTTATAATGTTACAAAATAAACTAAATCTTTAGCATCCACCAACACACACACACACACACAAACATGGCCATATTAATTCATCATACGTCTTTTTTGTTTTGTTTTGTTTTGCATATATATTCAAATAAATTCATAACGATAATAATGGCAGCATATTTTTTTTTTTAATATCAGTGAAACAATGTAATTTTTTTCCCTCTCTCGCTGATTTATATATACATATGATGATACCAACATTCCAACACACAATATCAAAGTCATAAGAAAGTGATGATGGTGGCAACTTTTACTTCAATTTTTTTTTTCTTTCAAAATGAATGAAAAAAAAAATTCAATTCAATGTAAATACAATGGATCATAATGTAATGATTATGATGATGATGATGATGATGATGATGAAGAAGAAGCCATGTATCCATCATTGTCATTTATCAAAACACTTGGACAGACGAAAAAAAAAACACAAAGTCTTTTTCATTGTTTGTTTGAGTATATGATTATTCTCGAACAAACACATTAGTTTATCTCTTTTTTTTCAAATGTGAAATTATTATCATTATTAAATACGGAAACAGCAACAACAACAACAACAAAAAAACTGAAAAATTAAAAAAATGGGCAATCATAAACAGACTTATCTTATTTTATTTGTTTAGTGTGTGTGGTTTGTGTGTGGACAAGTTCAATTCGTATCAAGGAAATATTTGAATGGCAATGTTGATGTTGGTGGTGGTGGTAATGGTCAATGGTCAAGTGTGTAGGAGGAAGAGGAAAAGTGAAAAGGAGATACTATTCATAATTCAAATATGCTTGATGACCACATACTTGATCTGATGGGTCAAGTTTTTTTTTATTATTAAAAAAATTGTTTTTTTTCTTCTTCTTTTTCTCCATATCGTTAGCCATTAACATTATCATCACAATGAAATGATAGCCATTTTTGTTTATTTAATTTAAAAATTTCATAATTTAATGGTTTTGACGATCATCATCATCATAATAATTAAAATTATTAAAACAAAACAAAACAAAAAAACCACATCATGGGACCAAAAACATTGTCATCATCATCATCATCATCATGACATTATTTTTATAGTAGTAGAATCAATCCAAAAAGTAGAATGAAATTCTATAAATCGATCATAAATCAATATATGTTTAACCGTTGTATGTTGTCAATTTTGTGGCCAAAAAAAAATAGAAATCAAAGAAAAAAAATCATTTACCAGCAAAATAGATCAATATATCGACGATAAATTGATTTTTTTTATTTCCTCTTCACAAATCAATTTTAAGATCAATAAAAATTGAATTTGATTTTCTTTTTTCCAAGTATTTTTTTTTTTAATATTTCCGTTTTTTTCAACGCCGGTAATTCTACAACATGGACAGAATATATGATTATCGATTTTGCAAAAATTCAATCTTCTTCGAAATTCACGGGAATTGTAAAAAAAATCAAATCAATCCCATAAGAAACTGGGTAACGGTTTTTTTTTCGTTTGGTTATTTATTTGTCTGTATGACTAATGAATCAATCTCTATAAATCAATCAAAGAAGAGAAAAATCAATCAATTTTTATTCTAAAGAAATGAATTTTATTTTTTTTCGTTTTAGACGAAATTTTTATGAAATGAATCAAATATTTTCATTTTTCATGTCATCAAAATTCTCAATAATTATATCCATCGCTTGAAAAATCAATCGGCACCAAAGATGCTGTTGCTGCTGCTGATGATGATGATGATGATGCGGCATTTGAATCATGTAAATAGGACATAATTTCGAATGATGATGGCAATGTTGTTGAATTAGTATTCGATGTTGAATTATGATGATGATGATGATGATGATTATTATTTGGATTTGGATTAAGATTATGATTATGATGATGATTATTAAGATGATGTTGATTATTATGATGATGTGAATGATGAAGATGATGATGATGATGGTGATGTTGATGATGATGATGACCATCAGCTGATATATTATTGTTAGTAATCGATGATGATGATGATGATGATGTCGTAGTCGATGATGATGATGATGAAGATTGTATTGTTGTCGATGAAGATTGTGGTGGTGGTGGGGTTGTATGAATTCCATTTTGTCTATTCAAGATAAAAAAGGGGAGAAAAAGAAAAAAAAATTTTTGTAAACAAATAACAAGGTTGGTGGACACCGGGTGTTTGATTGTTGATCATGAATGATAGATGAATCGACAAAAAAAGGGTGATGGGAAAAAATAACGAAAAAAAAAATTAAAAATTCTTAGATAAAACAGCAGAAAAAAATTGTCAATTCTTTTCAAGAATTTTTCCACCCACACATATATAAACAAACAAAATTAATTTAAGCAGCAATTTGTAAGTAAAATTCAGAATTCAGAATTATTATTATCATTCATATTAAGAAAAAGGAAAAGACATTCATATAATATCAAAGAATAGCCAAAAAAAAGTGGGAAAAAAAGGAAAAATTTCGTGTTTGTTCATCATTTTTTGTTTTGTTTTGTTTTGTTGAAAAATTTGAATATTTTTTTTTGCAAATTTTCAATTTTGTTCAATAGAATAATTTGATAATGATCGGATAATAATGTTTGTCTGTAAACACGCCTATAAGATATGCATGAAGAGAAAGAAAAATTTAAATTTTGAAGCAAATTTTTTCATTTTTTTTTTTTTTTTTGTTTTTGTTCTGTTTTATTTTTGTTCGATTTCTATTTGTATTGAAACAATTGACCATTGATGATGATGATGATGATGATGATGATGATGATGATGAGGGTCGAGAAAATTGAATTCACAAGAATTTCAATTAAAATAGAAAAAAAGATTCACATAACAAACATTTGATGATTATATAATGATAATGAATAATGATTATCATCATTAAATTGTAATGAGCAGAAAATTTGCTGTTGTTGTTGTTGAATATGATAAATAAACGAATTTTTTTTCTGTCATGAATAATTTTGATAATAGATGATTAGATTGGATAATATGTGTTTGTGTGTGTGTGTGTGTGTGAAACAAATGATTGAAATGTATCAGTTATATATTGATATATTGAAATTAATTCAAATGAAATGGTATTCCATAATGTTTGTCGTGATCAAAGCAAAGAAAAAAAAATGGAAATAGATGATGATGATGATGATTTTTTGTTTCAAATCTAGTCAGAATGCAAATGTGGTATGTGTGAAATGAATGAAAATGGCATTATTTATCAATCGATCCAGATGATTATATTGATGATAATGGTGGTGGTGGTGGTGGTGATTGATTGATTGATATATTGAAGATTAATCATGTGTAGTATATTTAGGTGTGTTTATAGTATGGAATATTATTTAAATACTTATTGAATCAACAGTTTAAACCATATGAAATCCTGTAACTCTTTTTTTTTGTTTGATTGAAATTGATGTTTGTTTTGTTTTGTTTTTGTTTATGATGAAAAAAAAGATGCAAAAAAGATTGATTTTTTTTAACGGAAAGAGAGAAAGAAAAGAGTAAAATGTTAGAAATGAAATAGATAGAAATTAGAATTAGTGATGGAAAAAATCAAATGATGGAAACCTAATTGATTTCAGTGATAAAAAAAAAAACGAAAAACAAAACTTACTTGACTGTTGTACAATCCATTGATGTTGTATTCGAATCGAATGGCATTGAATTTGAATCACCAGGTGAATGTGGCTGTAATGATGATTGTGGTGTATTTGGAAATGATTCCAATGACATTGCAGATAGACTATGTGGTCAACGAACAAGTGGATTGATGATTTAGAATATTTGGTCCCGATAATTGGAAAATTTTGCATATGTTTTATGATTATCAACAACATTAACAATACCCGAAACAAATAGACAACAACCAAATGAATAGGATAAATGAAAGAAAAAAAATGAGACAAAAAAGAACAAAGACAGAATGAGAATGAGAATTTTATATATTTTTTTCAAAGGAAATTATTAAAATTAGAAATTATTGTTTGATTATCAACAAAATAGAATCAAAGAATAAATAACAAAGTTAAATTAAAAGTAAATATAAAAGAAATGAAAGAAAATGATTGAAAATAATGAATGAATGAATTAACAAAATATCAATAATACCCAGGCACACAAGTGACCAGAACTGGTTTAACATAACCGGTAGTTGTTTTCGTTGTTTCACCAATCGGTGTATAATATTTAGAGAATACAACATCTTTCGGTGTATCTGGATATAGATGTGTTAGATTTTTTAAATCATTTAAACGATCAGCTAATGAACGTATGCCCAAATCTTTTGCATTAAATGGCTGTAACATAAAACAACCAATTGTATTATCTTCTGGTGATTTTCCTTTCCATGCTACGGTTAGACCGCCTTGTTCGGAATCAGAAAATCGTAATAAAAATGTTCCCATCGCTGATTGTGATAGAATATTTGCCGTTTCTGTACGGCTAATAAAACCATGTATTAGATTATCATTCCATAATGGTCGTAAATGTTCTTTAGTTATTTTCAATATTGAATAAAACCATTCCCAAAATGTAAAATTACGATCCGGCAATGGTTCTTTACTGAATTGACTCCACGTAATCAATACATTCAAATCGGGAACATTATTCGTACGTAATGCTTTTGCAGCCAAAAATCTTAGATTATCTTGACTTAAACCTTTACCAACATTTGCAATGAATTTTTGACTTAGTACTTCACCAACACGATAGAATGGAACTTTATCTGGTACAATGAACGATGTTCGTCTCTGAATTTGTGAGAGAAAAAAAATCATAAATTAATCAATCATTCGATAATTTTGAAATTCTTTTTTTTCCCTACCTGTTCAGCGAATGCATTATCCCAGGTGATTGTAGCATGTGCATGTGGTTCTTGATTACCATGTACGATTACAACCACCGGTAATGAGAATGTTTGAACGCAACATGGAATCTGCAAATAATAATGAAAAATATTTCAAGAATTTTTCAAAGAAAAGAAAAAAAAACAAGAATTAAATTAGATTGGAATAGAAAAAAATTTTCTGAAATAATTAAAATGTGAATAACTTTCTTCCAGAAAACTTACTCTGACTGGCATATCACCAAATTCTTGACTTATAGTGAAACGTGAATTAAATAATAGGGCAAATTTTTCATCCATAACAGATTCGGTACCTTTCTTTTCGGTTCTTTTAATCTTTTTTAATTGCATATTACGAAAATGGACACTTAGGTGAGTGGTGGCGGCATGATATTCCATAATGCCAACATTATTAAGAATTTCACCTGCGGCCGATTCATTCTGTATGAATGATAATGAATTATCGGCCACATTGCTTAATAATGCCGCCTGATGTTCACTAATAATGTGTACCGATACATTCGGTGGTGCTAGATGTAGATTTAATTTACATCCAACCAATAATCTAACGGTGGCCGTAAAACGTGTATTCGTTTTCATAACTTGTGGTGGTTGTTTTTCAATCACAAACGTATTCTTTACTAAACGATTCAACATGACAGTGTTTGCATCCATTAGATTATACAAACTATCATTTAGATATTGATTTGGACTATAGTTTGTACATGTTATCTGCATACGTTTTATTTGTAAACGATTTTGCCATATAAAATCGGCTAATGCTTCACACCAATCCTGTATATCATCCAATGTATAACCAGTATAGATAACACCATTTCCTAATAATTGTTGACCACGATGCCAATTAGCTAATTCTGTATCCAATACTTTTGTCATTAAAATATTTATTGCATTACTACATTCACGTAAACGATCCAATAATTCGGATCTTTGTTTCATTAATGTTTCGGTAGATGTTTGCAAACTGGTCTCCTGTACATCTAATTGTTTCATTATTTTTGCACGTTCATTTGTTTGAGCATTCTGTAATAATGCTTGTGTTTTTTGCCGTTCCTGATAATTGACAATTAATTGTTCTTGATCCTGGAACGTTTGTCTTATAATTTCATCTGTTTCGGTTAAATCTTTACGAATCCTTTGTATGTCACGATTAATTTCTTGAAATGAATCTTGCATTGGTCTTGGTGGTTTCGTATCCAATAAACACTTTTTTTTGTTTCAATTTAAAATATAAAAAATTATCACAATTAATTATTTGGATTTGGATGAAATTTTTCAGGAAAAAAACTTACACTTTGAGCATAGCTCATTATTCGTGATTCTTTCTGTAATGAATAATAAATAATACTAGCCAATTCAACTGGATTACGATGTTGTGCGCTAAATGCAACTTGTGTTAAACGATATTTGAGCTGATTATTATCCAATGTATGAGCTAATGAATTTATTTTCAATATAAATTCTTGTTGCAATGCTGTTGCTAATGCTTCGGTTTCTGGACATAATTCTGTTGCAATTTTTGACCATGGTTGTTTTTCAATCCATTCACCTAATATTGTACGTACTTCTAATGGAAATACATCTGTACCATAGACTAAACTAATTTGATGTTGTAATTCTTCAGGCAGATTACTTTGTACAGTCCACATTTTGAATAAATCGATCAAAACTGTTGTTGTAGTAAAGTTGTAGAATTTATTTTTTTAAATTATTCTGGAAAAAAAAGAAAATAATAATGATTTTGATTTGGTTCTTGTGAAATTCCTTGAAAATACCGGCGTTTGACGATAATATCAATGATATAATTTGATGGCAATTATTGGTGGATAATTATGATTATTCCGGCAAATTATTGAATGAAGCAATCTATAGAAAATTTATGATAAAAATAGAACAACAACAAAAAAAAAATAAATAAGATTTAATGTCGACTGGAAATAAATGAGAATTTCACACCCACACACACACACACACACACACAAAATGAAAACACAATCAATAATTACATAATGGCCATAAAATGAAGAAGAAAAAGAAAAATTAAAGTTTTAAATGTCAAATCATCAAATAAAACAAAAACAAAAAATGATTTGTGAAAACAAAAAGACAAATAAACAACGACGACATTACATTTTGATTTCCTTTCAAATAATTCGAGGACAATAATTTTTTTTTTTTTTAAAGGACAGTAGCTATCATCATAGTCACCACCAAAACCACCACCACCACCACCACCATCACAGGCAAATATTACGACAAAAATTTTTAAATAAAATGCGATAAGTACTTGAAATCAGAAACAAAACCGGAAATTCATATATATGTAAATCAAAACAGCAAGCAGTAAAATGAGAAAAAAAACTAATAATGAGTGAGTGAGGGAGAGAGAGAGAGAGATAATCTCAGGATGAATATTTAAATCCTGAATATAATGTGGATGAATAGGATAGAAAATGGAAATGAGAAAAATAAAAATTCAAAACAAGGACGAATGATTGATGTTATGATTCTGAGTTTGTGAACAAAAAAAAATCTGTTTCATCGTTAACAAAGAGAATGACGATGAAAATGTCTGATTCATTCTCTTGAATGAATGAATGAATGAATTGTCTATGTGAAAAGGACAGAATCGACATGATTCATATTGAATGATTGCATCGTTTTTACTTCATTCTACATTCGTAATCTGCGAAAAAAAAATTCTGAAACCACTTTTGTTTCCGAGTGCAAAGTGGCTAGTATGTCATCGTTGTTGTGATGATAATCTGACAAATAAATTGATTTGAAAAAAAAAATTTTTCAGTTTTTTTTTGTTTCTGGTGAACAAACAGAAAACGAAAAAAACAAATTGATTAATCAATTAAGAGGACGACAATGACATAATCATCATTATCATCATCAATGACGGAAATCAATCAATCAATTGGAAAAAAAATGAAAGAGGCGAATACGAATTAAAGCAACAACCAAAAAAAAAAGTTCGATGTTCGACAAAATTGACAATAATTTGTTGATTAATATCAACAAATGGACAACAAACGGAAAAATTGTCTCATGATAATTATATGAGGTAAATCCAACCATACATCGCTATCGCCATCAAGAATGAATGTAAATTCCTTTGAACAATACAAGAGAATATTTGTTTTTTGGTATTCAATAGTTTTGTTGTACGGGGAAAAAAACAAGAAATCAAACCGCAACAGCAATCGAAACACAGATATTTTTCCCAGTAAATCCTTTGTTTTTTTTTCGTGTTGTTTTTGTTGAATTTTTTTTTCGTTACACCAGAAAACAAACATTTAATATATAACGACGATTAACGATAATCGAACAATCAACAAATTATTAATTGGAATATTGTGAATGTCATACATTTGCACTATAAATCAGGACACAAACAAACACACACGCACATTGTTTATGAATGTGATGTTTTTTTTCGATGTCACACATTTAATCAAAGTAAAATTTTCTGGAAAAAAAACAACAACAACAACAACAAAAAAATATTCGGATATGAATTTCAGTAGAGAATCATAAAAACAATAAATGAGAAAAATTCTTGCATCAAAATGATCATTTATATATACACGAATTTGATTTTTCAGTCGAAAATTCTGGATAAAAAAATCATTTTTAGTGTAGGCGTTTTCATGCTGAAAATTGTAATTAATTTTCACGAATTTATAAATATAATATTTCCCTCTCATGTATTGCATTGTGAAAAAAAACCGAATAATTTGGTCTCAATTGGATCAGTGAGAAAAAAAAATAACCATTCAATCAAAAAAAAAGATAAAGAAAAGTGAAGTGATTATCTTACCAAAAGAAAAAGAAAGTAGGAATTAGAATAGAATCCTAGATGAGAAAGAAAAATGTGACATTTAATAAACACAGACATAGAGAGAAAACCCAGATTATAATTCTGAGTTGTTAATCCAAACAAAAAAAAACAAACGTCATTACTATATGTGTACTTGTACAACTCAGAATTATGATTTCATTTCGCTGATGATGATGATTATTGATTGGTAAAATAACAAGTCATCTGATGAATCAAACGAAAAAAAGGGTTTTTTTTGTGTGTGTGTGGCAATAACATTGATTTTTCATTGATGACAAAATACAAGTGTGTAAATTTTATGATTTTTGGAACATTAGAATATTTATAAAATATAAAACATGGAAAAACTTACCAATAATATCTAATCTAATAAACAATAAATGAACAGGAATAAAGAATCAAGAATCGACAAGAAGAAGAAAAAAATTCAGATTCTTTGGATTTTTTTAAAAATTTTCGTTCTTTACTACTAAAGTTGGGATCTATCAAGAATTTCAATTAAATTCTGGTACACGACATTCTGGTACACGAATTCTCGTCGACGACAACAACGACGTCGACAAAATGAATGGAAAAAATTTTGTTTTTTTTTGTTTGTTTGTTTGTTTGAAAAGTTTAATTTTTTATGCAATTTTTTTCTAATGAATGATGATCAACAACAACAACAACAAAAAAACGAGGTCCAATTAAGCAATGGTAATTGCTTAAGTATTTTGTTCCAAAGAATGTGACAGACACACACACAGAAAAAGAAGCCAAAATCGATTGAAAGAGTGAAAAAAAAATTCCGAACAAAAACTTTTAAAATGAACAACGACAAAAAAAAAAATAAATAAATTTCACGATAAATTAAACAGAAAGGTTAACAATCAATTTTAGAAACAACTGCTGATTCTTTTGTTTTTTTTTTGCTCGCTCTTTTCTCACCACCCTTATTCACATGGCAAAAAAAAACCACGATCTTGGAACTTGGATCATGTTTCCCCATTTTTTTCTGAATAAGAAATTCGTGTTTTTTTTACGTGGAAAAAGTAAAACAAAAAATAAAGAGATAAAACATTGGAATTCAACAAAGTTTTATGTTTTTTTTTGCATTCTTACATTTGTTGTAAATTCAATGGAATATATAACGAAAATAGCAGGCAAAACAAAAAAAAAGGAAAAATAATATTGTGAGTTGTGTCGAACTTCATTTCATTTCATTTTTTTTTTCTTGTCGTTGTCATCATCATCATTACCGTTTAAAGAAAAATAAAAACAGAAAAAAAATTGTCAATTCTGAAATATTATATGATGATGACAGAACTCATAAAATTATTTCTCTAGAATTTCTTACACCATTGTTTTGTTTTTTTTTTGATTTTCTATTCTGGTTACCACACACACACACACACACATTAGAGTTGTCAGAAAAGGGTCGAAAAGAACAAAAATAAAAATTTTTTTTTATTGGAAAACCCGCTTAATAATACCGTTTTACATCGGTTTAAAAAATTTTTTTTTGTTAGGTGAGAAAGTTCCAGACATGTATTTCTGTTCTACCTGGATCTGGGGTAACCAAGATCATCATAAATGTAATAATACCTTGACAACAACCATGGATCCGATCGATTTGTTTAGTTTGTAGTTCATCCATCAGTAATAATGATAATGATAATAATAACCAAATTCAGTGTTTGATTAAATTATCAATTTTTTTTTTTTTTTTCACAAATGAATAGAATAAAGATCTAGTGAAAAAAAAGGTTTATTTTTTTATCTTTATTACATTATTATTATGCTGGATGAGAATGAAAAATGAATAATGTTTCTACTTTATCTTCAAGTTGACATTATTTCCACTATTTTCGATTTGTTTCCATTTTTTCTACCCTTTATTTGTTTTTCTTTCTTTTTTTTTAACTGCTAGTGTTGATGAAAGGTAAATAAGCGAATTTTGCATAAAGAAATTACTGGGGAAAAAAATTTATTATTTTGAGATAGCAAAAAGAGAGAGAGAAATGATCCTTTTAATGATAAAAAACAACCAAATGATACTAAATGTGAATGAATGACAAGAAACAAGTTCAAGTTGAATAATTTTCATTGTTTATTACCATCTCTGTGATCATCATTATATTTGGTCATATTTTGCAACGTGAATTTGGAATCAAGAGATGATGATGGTGGAAAGGATCAAAAAAAAAAAATAAATAAATTTTTACACTTGTTTTTTTGGGGCGCATAGCAAAAAGTTTTTTTTTGCAATGTTTTTTGTCCTTGGTTTCTTCTTGGAAACCATAGTTATTTCGGGTACTGTTATGTGTGTGTGTTGATTGGTATCAAAATCCAGAATACAAAAAAAAAGTTTGTTTTGTTTGATGTGAAAAATTATTAAAGTTAAAGCCAGAATAGTCAAAATAACTGATTGATGATGGATTTAGTGGAAATGGTACAGATTTTATTTTCAAGTACACAAATATTTGAATGGAACCCCACTTTGTAGTGAAAAATTCAAACGATAAACTAAAAACAATTAAAATTAAAAAATTTTTTTTTTTTTTTTTGACTGAATGTACTTTATGTGTGCGTGTGCGTGAATGTCGAAAATCTGTGGAAAATTTTTCTCTCCCAGGAATTCCATGAATGTTTCAACGGGGTAAATCTGAAGAAAATGAAAATATTTCCATTTTCATTTTTTTTTTAATCTCTCCGATTATTCTTTTGCTTTTTTTCATCTCATTTCTTTGAAATTATTTGCTTCTCAATTTGGTTTTCACTACTATTCTTGATTTGATCATAGAAAAACTCGATATTAATTTGAAATTCAACATGTCCGGATTTTTTTTTCTCTTTCTCTCTCTGTACCGGTTATGAGGAAAAATAATCGACTTTATCGAATACAAGTAAAAGACAACGATAAAAGTAAAATCGAGAATCTTGAAATTGCAAAAATCATCAATCGACAATCGACATTATCGAGTTTGTAATCCTAAATGAATGAACAAATCCTCAAAAACGGAATAGAAAACATTACTGATAATTAAAAAAAAAAAAAAAAACAAAGTCAACGAACAAAGCAAAAAAAACATCTAGTAGTTGAATGCGTGATTTCAATGAAAAAATTTTTTTTTCGCAAAAAAAAATTTCTCTCTGTGTTTGTTTGTTTGTGTTTCTGTGTGCGGTTTGAAAATGGCGATGACGATTTTGCTGATGACGATGATGATAGTGTTCATAAAAAAATGATGATTGATAGCCAATCTCAGAAATTGTGTTTGTTTGTTTGTTGTTTGTGTCGCTGCGTGAATGATCGATTGCGAACATTCATCATGCCTATTAAAAACGAATTAAATCTCAAATTGAAGAATTTCGAAATGCCGTGTCAAACTTGGGTCCTCGTTATATCGATAATACGTCCCAAATGGTTTGGAAAATTGCTGATAAGTTTTGGAAGAAAGAATCGGAAATAATTTCTGCTGAATGTCGATCGTTGGACGATCTTGTGGAACGAGTCAAAAAAGCTCATCGTCATGCCATAACGTGGGCACAACGCAGTGCTGAGCATAAATTGTCGGTTAAATCTGTGAAAAATGTTGATCCGAGATCCAAAACATCGTCGATTCGAACTGTAGTGACAAAACCAATGAAAAAATGTTTTTTGTGTGATAAACCTGGACACATGGCAACTGCATGTAAAAGTGAATTGTCCAGCCTCGATAAAAAGAAGATTGTATTTGATAAAGGTTTGTGTCGTATATGTCTATGGCCTGGACACAAATCATCGGATTGCCGTCGAAAGGATGTTATAAAGTGTACATCATGCAATGACAACCATCCATCATCATTACATGGTATAAATTTTGACGAGACGGAAGTAAAAACAGTGGCTACCGCGGATATGAAGGTTGTTCGTGAAGCAACTGGAACTAACATTGGCAAATTCCGTGGACGTATTGGCCGAATGGAATGTGATGTGTTGATTGATTCTGGTGCAGACGTATCTGTTGTCAGTAGTGATTTAGCACCATTGAAATGTCGTCGTAAAGTTACACCGATTATGCTATGTGGATTCGAAAAATCCATGTCCCGTATTGTGGATCAAATTGCCGATATTGTATTATCGCATCCAAATGGTGAATCTAACTTGGAAGCATATGTATCTGATCGTGTACCATCCAATAACATTATTGTTGGTCGTGATCATATGGTTAAATTATTTCGTGAAGGTCACCGTGTATGGCATACTGTATTCGGTGATATAGACCTTGCATCAATGAAAGTGATTAACGTCATTGAACAACGAAGTGAAAAACGTATTGTACATTGGAATGAAAATGATTGTCCTGAAGAAGTTGATGATGGCAAAATGAATTTACGAATGGAGAAATTGGATAATGGTAGATTCAAAGTCAGCCTACCGTTTTTCTCAAGCAAAAGACCACCGAATAATTTCAACAAAGCAATAGAACATCTTGATCGTTTGCAATCTCGTTTGAACAAAAAAGGTCTTTTGGAACAATATGAATCAGAATTAATGAAATACGTTGAAAATAACCATGCCGAAATTATTAATGAAACAGATGGATATTTTATTCCACATCATGAAGTTGAACGACCTGATGCCGCGACTACCAAGTTCCGAATTGTATTGAACGCGTCATTTGGTTGGAATTCATTGAACGATTTGCTTTGGAAAGGTGAATCATTGAATTTGAATACATTGCCTCATCTTGTGAGAATTAGAATGGCACCGTTTCTATGCATTGGTGATTTACAGAAAGCGTTTCTACAAATCGTTATTGATGAATCTGATCGCCAATATCTACGATTTTTATGGAAAGATCGCAATGATCAACTGATGATAATGCAAATGATCGTATTGCCATTTGGTGTTATTAGTGCTCCAGCAATATTAACACAAGTTGTGTCAATCATTATTAACAACATGTCGTCGAATTCACGAAATGTTTTGGAAAATTCTATGTATATGGACGATTTGCTCGCCGTATCCCATTCAGAATCTTTGTTGATGAACGTAATGAATGAAGCAAAATCATCGTTTGAATCGTCTGGTTTTGTTTTACATAAAATGGTATCGAATTCTACATTTATTCGTGATTGTTTTGGAATCGAATCGTCAAGCTGTAAATTGCTTGGTCTGGTATGGAATTGTATCAATGATTATTTGAATATTAATTGGAAGATTCCTGATAAAATTGATACTAAACGAAAATTATTACGATTTATTGGTCAATTATTTGATCCTTTAGGATTCTGTGAACCTGTAAAATTATTGTTTCGAAAAGAATTTGCTATGATCCAGGATAAGGATTGGGATGATGATCTAAATGAAGATATTGTATCCAAAATCAATGATCTCACAATTGGATTAAACGAATTGAATAAACTCATATGATATTCCGGGTAAAAAAATTTACGTCATCACATGAATGATGATAATGATAATATCTTGATGAAAAGAATTATTTTGGTTGAATTAATGAAATAATAATAAAAAAAAATGATCGATAAATTTGAAATTCAATAAATAAATGGTAAATATTAATAGTGTTCAATATAGCAATGACAATGACATTGTCATTTTGAAGATTTTAATCATCAAACTATTTAATAATTTTTCGAAAAAAAAAATACTTGAATTTTTATTTCAATTATTTCTTTCGCAACGGATTCAAACCGGTAAATAGGCTAAAAACTTGACATTCAAGTCAATCAAGTCATATCATCATCATCATAATCATTATCATTGGACTAAATCAAAAGTTGAAAAGTCAACCAAATTTCAATGAGAATTGTATGGTATGATATCAGAGATCATTTTATGGTACAAATCTTATCAAAAAAAAATTTCCTTTTTTATTTTTTGTTTGCTTTACTACTTTTCAAATCATCGAATATTGTTGTTGACCATAAAGCTTGATGATGAAATAAATGGATTTTTTTTAAAGACATGATGACGAGTACAAGCATAGAATTAGCAAGAATCCTCCCTTTTTAGCTACACTGGAAATAACCGGTTAAATTGAGAAAAAAAAATAATTTTCTTATTTCGCAAAAAAAACCAACAAAAACAAAAACAAAAACAACAACAACAAAAAATTGCAATTCTCAATGTAAACAACGAGGATCAACGAATTTTTGATGAAAACAAATAATTAAAAAAAAACAAGAATATCGAATCTGACGAATTGATGATGATGATGATAATGATGTCGACGATAATTATTCAAAGATCATAATCATCAAATAAACTGAATAAAACTTTGAATAGAATTTAAAGTGAAAAATCGTTTTTTTTTTCTTCAATTTTCTTTATAATTTGACAGTGAAAGTGTTTTCAGTGTTGATGTGATGATAACGAAGACGATGATGATGATGATGATGTGAACATACGATATGTTTCATTTTTCAATATTTCATCTCCAATTTTTTCTTAGTCAAGATTTAATGACATTTTTTTTCTTACTCGTTTTGTTTTGTTTTTTTTTGTTTTTTTACAAGACAGGTTTTTTTTGATTGCCATTGCCATTACCATTGCCATTACATTTATTTATTCATCACATACAAACGTTAATGAGATTATATTGAAGGGAAAAAAAGGGTTAGAGGATATAATCTTTACATATATTGGACTTGAATCTAATGTAAAATTTTTTTTTTGCGCTTCAAATTTGCTCAGCATTTTGTGCATGAACAATTTTATTCAAAATATAACCAAAGAATGGTGTAAATTTACAACAGTAAAAAAAGCAACGAAGGTCAAAGGGCAATATAAAGTTATAAATAGAAAACAAGGTGGACAGGTATATAGACATTTATATATTTTTCTTGTAAATTAAGAGATATCATATTTTGTTTTTTTTTCATTTTCTTTGTTTGTTTGCTTGTCTGTTTGACTTGTCATCTTTTTTTTAATGTATAAAGATTCATTCATTCATTCATTCATCCATTCAAACATTGCCTCTGGGCTCTCATGTACAAATGTGTACCGTTGATTTTTGCATATTTCCTTTTTTTTCATTTTCACAGTTATTCCAAGAATCTATCTATTTTTTTTCATCAATTTTTCCTCAAAATGAAGAAATGTGAAATTTTGAGAATTTTTTCCGTTTTGTTTTGTTCAGTCCATTCATCAGTCCATACGAAGGTGGTAGTAGTACCAAATGGCCAGTGGCCATGATCTAAATTTAGAATTTTCGTTATCAATCTCAATCTCTATGACAAACACAGTTTCTTTTCAATTCATTCAAACATTCATTCAATTGATAGGTGGAAATTTTTTTTTTCTAATTGAAAAATTCCAAAAATCATCGATGAATCAATGAAAAAAAAAATTCGATCATCAATCGATTCAAAGTGTTTTCCATTATACACAAACACACAATGGATAAATTTAACCCTTTTTTGGGGTAAAAAATAAATAGATAAAGAAATTTGGAAAGTAAAAAACATTCCAGAGAATTGATTCACAAGTGCCATGTTTTTTTCAAGTCAAACTTTGTACACCACTATGGTTAGAGGTTGAATTGCCATTGGATGACAAAAATAAAAAAAAATTATGGTGAAAAAAACTGAATCGATTCAATGAGAAATTCATAAAAATGAATTGAAACTTTTGGCTGGAATGAAAGTCATTGAATTCGGGTTCCAATGAAGAAAAAAAAAATACCGATTACAAAGGAGAAAGTTTTCAATGAATGAAATTGAAACGTATTTTTTCTTCTTCATTTTTGGATAAAAAAAAATTCATTAAAGCTACAATCAGACAGTGGAAAAAAAGTTGTAAATAAAAACATTTATCAATGAATTGAATGAGCAAAAAAGGTAAAAGAAATTCAATGTTCATTATTCAGGTAGTTTAATCAGAAATCAATTCGATTTGAAAATTTAAATAATCCCGATTGATTTCGCAAGAAAGAATTGGAATATTTAGCCAAAAAGACATGAAAACAAGTTCTGAACGTTAGTCGATCCTGGAACACACACACACACACACACACACACACACACATCAAACATTGCTCGAACATTTGGCTTTGGTTTTTGCCATGCGCTTCATTTATTATTAAAAGAATTTGGATATTCTGCGAAATTTTCTTCTCTTTCCAAAATGGATTTGATCAGGATGAAAACAAAAAACAACAACAAGAAAAAATTGAAGAAATTTTTCCATTTCAAAATATCACAAGAAATGAAGAAACAACAAAAACAAAATGTACCAACAAAAAAAAACATACCAGGAATAAAAAAGAATTCCAAGAATAAATTTTTGATTTCGGATTCTATTTTTCTTGGATCCATCGAGATTCCCACACCACAAAAAACATTACAATCTCAAAACATTTCCCCTAAATGTAACCGAAACTAAAATTTTCTACAGAATTCATATTGAACACAACACAAAACCAGGCAATGAATTGTTTTGATTTTTTTTTATTCTGACTATTTCACCTGTTTATATATGTGGTTATCGGACAAAAAAAAATCAATTTTATCAAATTTTCTATTTTCAATCAGCCATATCACAGATACACACAGATTGCACACATTCATTCATTCAGTATTCCAGAGAATCTCAAGAAAAATAAAACAAAACAAAACAAAAAAAATTCCAAGGAAGTTTGCTGTCCGAATTCACATCTTTTATGTGTGTGTGTGTGTGTCTGTAAAGCTCTAATTAATAATAAACGTTAATCAATGCATCAAAAGTTAAGAGATAAAAATTCTATCCTATTGAAATGGACAAAGATCAAAAAAAATGACTATGTGACTAAATGATAATGATGGAATGATGAAAATTTTTGTTTTCCTCTTTCGCACTGTGTTTTTGTGTGATGAATATATGAATTTCATTTTCATGATAAGTTTGATTAAGAAGAACAAAAAAAAATCAGAAATTATTCAAGAAAAAATAAATCAATATGAATAAGGCCATTTAAAAACCAGTGAACAGGATTTTCGAAGAAAAAAAGACAAATGTAAGATACGATATGATGAGTTAACAATCTAGATTTCCAAGGAAATTTACGAATATATATTGCTATTTATTATTGATGAATGACCGAAAAAAAATCATTACTTCGTTACATAACGAAAAAAAAAATCGAATGAATAAAAACAAAACAAAGTGAAACAAAACAAAAAAAAAATTCTCAAGAAAATGCTAACTATACCCAATGCTTTTGGTGCATGCGTCAATGTGATGAAATTCTTTTCATTTGGTTTTGGTTATCTACCGGGATCCAGAACCCTGGTCGTTATATTTCATTTTGAAAACCGTACCCGGGTTCCAGGTTGACATTGATGATGATATATGAAAAAAGGCTATAGAAATGAAATATATAGAATTCAAAAAAAGCATCTGCTTGATAAATTCGTCTGTTATTACTGGTTTTGATCTGGAACTGATCGGGGGTGGGAGGGGAAATTCTGTATAACCAAAAAAAAAAAAAAATTCATTGGAATGCGTATTGATGTTGATCATGCGTTGTAAACAAAGCAAACTAACTAACTAACGATATTTTACATAGATCCAATGATGCTATATATCAAATGTAAAGAATTCAATCGATTGCCCAGTTAGAATCTATTTCGGTTTGGTACACATATTATTCTTATACGAAGAAGAATGCTTTAGAAGCAACAACAACAAAAACAACTGGTGTGCTGTGCGCATCACAACAAGTTGCATCACCAATAATGATGAGTTCCAAGGTTTCATTTTCTAGTGTGTGTATATGTTCCAGTATGTGTTCCAGCAGCATGTGCATTATTTTGTTGGGGACGGCGAAAAAAAAAATTTTTTTTTTGGCAAATTGGATGCACACAGTATATATTATGACGATGATGATAATGATGATGACTACTGGGCAAAATCAAACTTACATCCATTTAAATATTGCATTTATTTATAAATCAAAAAAAAAAAAAAATTAAAATTGAAATTAATGTTGGAATATGAAATAATTGGAACACACACGCAAAAAAAAACGATGGCCAGTATGTTAATTATGTTATTCACACGTGTTTTGAAAGTTATATAATTAATCAATCAAGTTCATTCGTATACTAAATATATCGAATTGAATGGTCAAAGAAAAAAAACATTGGCAACAACAACAACAACAACAAAAATAATGACTAAAGATTAAAAAACAACAACAAAAAATCAATTTATTGATTTTTAATAGCCTAATAAGAAGTTTTGTTGTTGTTGTTGTTTTTTTTTGTTTTGATTGGCTAACAACAACAACAAAAAAAGCACAAGTATTAATTCAAATTAAAATGAAATGACACTAATCGATTGATTGATTGATTGGATTTAAAACCAATATACTCTGATCGATCGAATCTTGATCAATCAGAATGGAAAAAAAATTTTTTCTCTTTCTTTCACAAGAAAAAAAAATCATCTTCATTATCATTATTATTATTAGCATCATTGAATCTCGCACACTCGCACACACACACACATTCAAGAGTAACGATGCAAAAAAAAAAAATTACAAGAAAAAAAAATAAATAAATGATCACCTAACGAATTGCCAATGGTCATTGGTAATTTTAATCATCATCATCATCATAATCATCATTTTTGATATTTGTGATTAGAAATAGAAAATCTTGTTTCATAAACCAGAAAATAAACAACAAGAAAAACAACAACAACAACAACAAAAAACAAAAATAGATATTCATCTTCAATTCAAGTTGAACAACAACAACGACGAATAGAAAAAAAATGAAATATTAAAATCAAAATTGAATTTTTTTCTTCTTTGTAATTTCTTCATTAAAAATTAAAGATTTCAAAAAAAAAACATAATGAGATGAAATTTTTTTTCTGGGCTACAAACCGGTGGAAAAAATTCATCAGAATCCAAATTCAGGTATCACCAACATCATCATGTAAAATCGTGAGAAACACACTGTGTGTGTGTGTGTGTGTGTGTGTGTGTGTGTTCAAAATTTTATTATCATCATCGTCCTTCATTTGCTGCATATTTTCACTAATTTTTTTTCCTCAAAATTAAAAAAAATCTCTATTTACCATTTACCGAGCGAATCGAAAACAAATTTTGTTTCGATTTTTTCGTTGTTGTCTTTTTGTGATTTGAAAAAAATAACAATTTCTTGACTATTTGCGTAACATTGTCATTTGTTGTTTTTTTTTTTGTATCCATTGTCCTGTGTTTCGCCAATTCGTCATTTATTATGACGCCTATTCAAATGTTGTTTTTATTTCGTTCATTTCGTTTGGATAAAACAAATTTTTGTTTTTTCTCTCTCTATCATTGAACAATATTGCAGGTTTATAATTCAACGAGTGGATTATAATAACAAATCTGTGTGTGTGTGTGTGTGTGTGTGTGTGTGTGTAGCAATGATCAAATGGTGAAATGAACCATCAAACATGATGGCAAAAATAAAAAAAAAGTTTTCTTTTAATTATTAATATAATCAAATACAATTTAAAATTGCTGAAAAAAAATCAATTTCGTTTTCTGAAAAAAAAACTAGAATCTAAATCCAAAATCTGAATAATATGACAGCTTGCTTATGAAATATAATAATAATAATTAACGAAATGCAAAAAAGTGGAAAACAACAACAAAATTTACCATATGGTGGCCATAGAATGATACATACACAAACATTATATAATTATTAATGTAATGTCCGAAAAATGTTTCAGAAATTCTATAAAATAATAATAATAATAATAATAATGTTGATGATGCCATTGTGGTGTTGATGGTCGACATTATTATTAAATAAAACTAACTCAAGTGTACGAAATAAAAATAAAAAAAAAACTTCCATCATCATCATCATTTTCCCATTTGCTTGATTCTTGTTTTATTGAGTTTTTTTTTGTATGAATACATACCAAAATGACCAGAGAAAATGAGTCAATATTTTGAACAACAACAACAAAAAAAATGAAAATCTCCAAACCAAATTGAAATTGCAATTCAATAAATGACAAGGACAAAAAATCATATCATATCATATCAAATATTAAATTTAATTGCAAAAAATGAACTAAAATTGCACGTAAGATGAATTTTTTTTTGTCGAGACTATGACAGACTAAAATAATGTGTATGTATGATGTTTCATAGATTGAAATATTGTATTACACAACAACAGTCAATCAATCCATCGAATATAAATCAATACAGTTGAATCAAAATGAATGAATGTAAGAAGAACAACTAAAAAAAGTGCAATGTTCTAACGTGGAATAAAATTTCAAATTCATCTAAAATTTATTATTCAATCAATCTTTCTTCTTCTTCTTCTTCTATTTTTACCTTAAGAATATTCAGGTTATTTTTGTGTGTTTCGATTTTTTTTTGCTCATCTCTCACCATTCTTCATATTTGTTTGGACTGAATGTTGAAAACGAAAAAAAAACCTGAATATCAATAACAAATCGATTGACAATGTCAACCTTGTCATCAACATCATCATATAAATATCATTCATGATGATGATGATAATGTAAATTCAAATTCGGTGAATAAACGAAAGTTTAAAATGTAAATAGTGAAATGAAAGATCAAAAGAAAGTTTAAATGAAAATCAAATCGACAGAATAAGAGAATATTAAAATTTATTTTTTCATTCAATAATGATGGCGGTGATCTAGTGGGAATATTCTATATTCTCTATCAGGTCCATTTCATCATCATTATTATTATGCGGGCAAAATGAATATGTTCGAATTGAATTTGTTGATTTATTGGTTGGCTAACACAAGCAAAAACAAAACGAAAAAAATCGATAAAATCAATTTTTTTGTTCTGTCTATAATAATTCGAATTAAAAAAAATAAATTTCATAATGACAAAATTCTTTGAAAAATGGCAAAAATTCGACAATTCAGATCAAAATTTTTTTTAAAAGAAAAATTGGATCAAAATTTGAATTGTAATGAATCAATCGATTGATTTCACTAGGCAGTGCAAATCAGTCCATGTCAATGCCATCATCATCATTATCATCAAAAAAGGTTCTAATGAAATGCATTGAATTGATAGACGGATGTCGATGTCTGTGTATATGTGTTTCGTTGACGACAATTGTATTCAAATTTCATCATCAATTTTTTTTATGATGTTGATACCAAGAAAAAAATGTCACGTCTGATGAAAAAAAATGAACGATATTCGATCGAATGTGAAATATAAAATATATACATCATTAAGAAACACATTGACATATACATTGCCAGGATTCAGTATCATTTTTTGCCGTTTCTTCTTCTTCTTCTTCTTTTCCAAGACAATATTAATTCATTTTTCTACGAATGAAATTTAATTTGACTTTTGTGTTTATTCGTTTGTTTGTTTATTCGATTATTATTATTGTCTTTCTTGTTTTAAAATAAAGTATATATTGGCTACGGTTGTTAACAGCAAACAATGAAAATCGATATGGCTTTCCTTTTATTCTTCTTCTTCTTCGAAAAAAAATGAAAATTCTTTGGAAAATGAAAAAACGAAAAGAAATTAACCTCCATCAAGATAGAGATAGAGCGAGGGTGGAGGTTTGAGGTTTTGACCCAATTTTTCTTTTCTTTTCTTTTCTCTTCCAATTCTCGATTCTTTTCCCATTTGACTGTGTCTGTGTGTGTGTGTGTGTGTGTGCGCGCGCTCTTGTGTTTGGTATGATTGATGATAAATGAAAAATTCATTGATTTTTCAATAAATTAAATGTGTGAATTACTATTTTTATTGTTTACAATTTTTTTTCCACACAAAATGTGATGTTTATGTTGTCGTTGTTGTTGTTGTTGTTGTTGTTTTGAATCAGTGGTCGATATCATCATCATTATGATGATGATGATGATCAGATCGCAGAAAAAAAAACATTAACAACAACGACAACGACAGCAAAAGAAATTGTTCAATTCAAAAAAAAAAAATGATCTTAGTTTAGTTTAGTTTTTGTGTTCAATCCTGTGTGTGTGTGTGTTTGTGTGTATGTACGTTTGTTTTCTTTGCACACTTTTATTTTTTGCATTCATTATTTCAAGGCCATGGCCAATCAGTAAAAAAAAATTTTTATATTTTTCTCATTTTTTTCAGTTTAATCTTGTTGTTATATCTTTTCAGCAAAATGTTTCAAATATCACCGTTTTTTTTGTATTTTGATTTATTTGACAAAAAAAAAAACACAAACTTGAATCTTGTATTCAAAGAGTGAACAAAAAAAAACATTCACATCACATTCATCGATATAATTGTTAATCAAATCAAATCAAATGATTGATATATAAGAACAAAAAAATTGTTGAAAGAGAAAAGAAAAATCGAGAGAGAGATTCACTTTCGATTTTCAATACAAAAAAAAAATTGAAATCAAAATTAAACTCAACACACACACACACACACACACACACATGCACTTGAAGACAAAGTTATCAATTAATCAATCAAAGATAAATGAAAAAAAAATGGGTAGGGTGTGAACACTTTGATTACAAATGTAAAAAACTTACTGAAAATTTTCAATATTTGATATTTTCATCATCAATAAAAGATGGAAAAATTGTTGTTGTTGTTGTTGTTGTTGTTGTTGTTGTTGTCAAAATAATAGCTAATCAATCAAACAGGTTGAACATATTGATCATCAATCAAATCAATCGGTAGGTTAGTTGATAAATCAATCAATCAATCAATCAGAATCAGAATCAATGAAAAGTTACAATAATGAATAAACAAATCCATAGAATTAGGATTAGATCAAAGTTTTGTCATTCATTCATTCATTCATAGTCGATTTATTGATATATAAATAATTTTCGTACACAAAACCAATAATAAATCAATAACAACACACACACAAAAAAAACAGCTCAAAGAAAACAAAACAAAAAACAACAACAACAACAACAAAATCTAAATAATTGAAATGATGATAATGATGATGTTATTGTGGATTATTATTATAATGATGATGATGATGATCAGAGAGGGGCATAAGTGAGAATCTCAAAAAAAAAAACAACACAACAGCACAGCACAGCACAACAAAACAAAACAAAACAAAACAAAAAAAAACACCAATACAACGCAACACAAGTTGAATCAAAGTCGATTTGTAGTGATTGAGAGTTTTATTCAAACTACGTTCATTGTTGGTATTGGATTTGGTTTTCGTTTGGCTGGCTGGTTGGTTGGTTGGTTAGTCGAATGGATGGAGTGATGATAATATTGTCTGTTCACCATATTTTGGAGACGTCGTCGTCGTCGTCATCGTCAGCAAAGATGATTATTATTATGACAAGAGAGAAAGAGCGATTTGGTATCCTGGTTATTGGCCATAGAGAAAAAAAAAAAAAGAAAATGTTTCATTTATACTACCACTGTGTGTGTGTGTGTGTATGCGTGTGTTTTGGTATTGAAAGTAAAAATAAAAAAAATAGACATGCACACAGAGAAAGAGAGATACCAGAAAGCGAGGAGCCTGGTTTTTTTTTCTTTACTTTGGAATAGATTCTTTTTTCGTTTTCGTTTTATTCAACCAACACATCTTATTCAAAGATCCATAATAAAAAAAAACAAATATATAAAAAACGGTGAAAATAAAATAAAAATATATCAACAAACAACAACAAAAATGAATGAATAAAAAACTGGTTCTTTTCTGGTTGTTTGTGTGTGTGTGTGTGTGTGTTATTGGATTGTATTTTTTTCTGTTATTTTGGATTTCTTTAATTTAGTTTCTTTCTTATGGGCTCCTAAAAAAAAGTCATTTTCTGGTATATTTATCTGGTTGTCTGGTTGTAGTGGTGGTGGTGGTGGTTGGTGGTGGTTTGTTTGCCATTTACCGATTTATCTATGTATGTGTGTGTGTGTGTATATGTCACATATACTATGTGCTATACTAAAATACTTACTGACAAATGTTTTTGTATATGTTATGTTTCTTTCTTTCAAACTTAAAGTATATATGAATAGATTTGATTCACAAAATGGGTTTGTAAAAGAATATTGGCTGGTATTTTTTTTATATTTGAAAATAATTTTTATTTGTTTTGTTTTTTTTTCTGTTTGTTGCTGTTGTCATTGCTTACGATTTAGCAAGATTTCGAATGAAGAGGATGATGATGATGATGATGATGATGATGGGTACATTGATTAATGAATGTGTGCATGTGTGTGTATGTGTGTTATGGTTGAATTGTGGATCGCTGGTTTTTTCACTTTTTGATCGCTGATAGATGAATCGTCTGCTTGTGTTTCACAATGTATTTGAATGCAAATGAATGAATGAACCCGAATATATTTTTCGTGAAAGATTTTTTTCTCTCTATATTAAGGGTTCTTCTTCTTCTTTTCACCCTCCACACGCACACACAAACACACACACACACTAATTTATACTATTTAGCTATATTTTTTGCTATTATTTAGCTCAACAAGAGTCTCTATAACTGACAGCAGTAGCAGCAACAAGAAGAAAATTTCTCATTTTCCGCCCTTTTTTTCGATTTTTTTTCCTTTTCCACCTCCTCTTTTTTTTCTGTTCCTCTTTCCCATACATTACTCACCCTCATTTCACATTCGTCATCACCATCATCATCAAATTGTATGCGAAAAATTCTTCCTTGAAACAACAACATCATCATCATCATCATCATTGTACATTTCATTAATTCAATAAAAATTATATGTTGGTCATTCGATTTTCGATATTATCAATTTGATGATTTGATTCAATTTTTTTCAATCATTTATTTCTGCTATTCGCTGATTAAAAATGGAATAGAAAAAAAAATAAAACGTTTTAAAATAGCATGAAATGAAATGATATGTTCCATGTAGGAATCTTTATACTGTTCTGTTCCAAATGATGATAATGAAGAAGGAGAAGAAGAAGGGAGTAAAATCTCGCGCATCAATAATAATGATGATTAATATAAATGTAGTGTTTTCTTTTCAAAATGATGATGTATATGTGTGTGTATGTGTGTAATGTTCAATTATCATCCTCCTCATACTCATCATCATCTTGATGGATATATTGAATGTGTGTATATGTACATGTATGATTTGGGGGATAATGGTAGGATCGTCATCATCATTGATCATCGACATTTATTATAATGATGATCAAGATGATGATGATCTTCATCATCATCATTTATTATTATTATTATGAAAATCCATAAGAAAATGCGCAGAAAATCTAATTTTCATTAAAAAAAAAAAATAGTAAAGAACTTGAATATCCGATGATGATGATGATGGCGCCCGGCGCTATCACCATAACCACTACTACTAATAATATTACTAATAATACTACTACTACTATCAGCTAAATATAATACAGAATTCTATTCAAAATAATTTTGAAGGCGCATCATCCATAAAGTAAAGAAGAAAAAGAAAAATAGAATTTTCAATGAATCATGCCGATACCATGCTGGATTTGCAGAAAGTTTTATTTTTTCTCCACATTTTCGTTCGCATCTAAATTCGCATCGATAAATGCGTGAAGGCTAGCTCCAAAACAACATTCAACCCTTTTTGTTGTTGTTGTTGTTTTTGTTTTTATTTTTCTTCAAAACAACAACAACAACAACTGCAACAAAAAAAAACCTTAATTGAATGTACTCTGTATTCAATTCATTCAAATTCATTCATACATTCATTCATTGGATGAAACAAACAAACAACAAAAACAAAAAAAAAATCTTATCTTTCTAGCTAGTTTGCTAGCTATTTAATAGTTGAATAAATGAAGAATTTTTATTTTTATTTTTGTTTTTTCTTTGCAAAGATTTTTTTTTTTTTTTTGCATATTTCTTCCACACACACACACACACACACATGAAAGGGAAAAACAGAAAATTCAGCTTGAAAATCATCATCATCATCGACATCATAATCATTATGTGAATTTGGTTTGTGTGTGTGTGTATGAAAAAAAATGGCGCCACATAATCAATTCTTCTGTTTTGGGTACATTCATTCATTGAATCAAGTAGGTGTGTGTGTGTTCAGCAACTGCAAACACACACACACACACAAAGAATAAATTGCCATTCTGATTCTATTTTCTTTGTTATTATTATTATCCATTTGTTTTTATATGTTATAGACGACTTTGGGAGTTGTTCAACCAAGATTTTTTGCTAATTTTTTATTGTTGTTTCCGTTTTTTTTTCTTATTCTTTTCTCTGGATGAAGGTGATGGTAGTGTCAAATGATCAAAAAAAAAAAAACAAAAAATCCAAAATGGCTACCATTCACATCTGCGCGAATGTAGATTATCCTGAAAAAAGGCGTCCATTTTTTCTTGCTTTTTCTCTCTCTTCCCCTCTTTCCATTTCTAGGTCCATATTGATATCTTTTTTTTTTTTTTTTTTTTTTGCAGAAAGACACTAAACATACACATACACATAGGGAATGGAAAAAAACTTTTGCCTGAATTTTTTTTTTTTATTTCATCTGAAAGAAGTTGAGGAAAATAAAATTTTTTTCTTGCTTTTTTTTTTTTTTTTCTTTCATTTTACCATTTCGATGATGATGATGATGATGATGATCAAATCGAAAAAATGGCTGCCATACCGCTGTACTATTCTTAATGTCTATTATGTGTATTTGCGTGTGTGTGTGTGTGTGTGTGTAAAGCTGACATTGATTATCTGTCGATAGAAACTTCACGAATAACGAATAGAATTTGCTGCTCTCACCCTCTTTTTTTTTTTTTTTCTTTCTTTCTTTCCCTTATTCCGTTTATCCATCGTTTTTGGCTATTTTTTTGTTTTTGTTTTTTTTTTTCGCTGCACCGATGATGGTTGAACAAACCCGAAAAATTCAAAAAGGGGTGGCATTAGTGATAGTATAGTGAAACAATCAAAAACTACTGTGAATATAACCAACGAATATATTTACTGATAGATACTGGTTGTTGCTGAAAAGTTTTAGGGAAAAAAAGGGGTTTGGTCTTTATCAAAAAAAAAAAAATTTTTTACAAACACACACAAACACTGCATGATAATAATAACCGTATATGCGTACGCGCTAGTATTGTTGTAGAATTTTTTAAATGTGGATGAACACAAAAAACAACAACAACAACAACAAAAAGTAAAAAAAAAAAGAAAAATTTGTCCGAAAAAAACTAAAAAAAAAAATGAAGATAAAGCTTTGAAACCAAAAATAAAATGGGGAAAAAAAAGAAAAGCAACAAAAATTCCAATTTCTTTGGTTCCTGAAACGCCCTTCATCCAGTCTCAAAACGAAAAAAAAAACAAAACATGGCCATTTTCCATTCATTTTTTTTTTTTTTTTTACTTAGACAATCGAAACATTGGGCAGAAAAACAGTTTTTTTTTCTGTTTTTGTTGTTTTAGTCCTTGGTTGAAGGAAAAAGCAAAAAAAATTGCAACAAGCAACAAAAAAAAAAAAATGAATGAATGAATGAATGAATGAACGATCAAACCAAGAACCAGGCGCCAGAATCCTTAAATGAATGTTCCAGTACACATACACATCTGCATCAAACAAGAAAAAAAAAATTTTTAT